TTATTAACTAAGATGTATTACACTATGGTGAAACATACTATAATCTGGTATAATATGGTGATAAAACCTAAATTACTGACCCTTGTTAATATTAATAACCTTAACTATGCAACTAAGCACTCTAAGGTTTATGACTTAACTATTGAAAAACTTTGGGATCTTTAAAATTCTTAAGGGCTTTGTGATTTTAAGATTTTGTAGAGATATTTGTCCAAATAAACATTAAAATTGCCCACCTATGCATGTTTTGGGGAGTAATTTCTCTCTTGTACATCACACCATTTAATTTCCAGAAATTATTCATTATAATTTCTCAAAATAATTAAAATTTGTATTTTTTTAAAAAAATTCTGATTAAAAAAACTTACTCAAATAGTTTAAAACATTCTAAAAGTATTGATTTACAAAAAAGGCTTAAGCAACCCCCCTAAATATATAAAATAAGACCAACATATTTTATGATCTTTGGTCTTGGATGTAGTTTCAACAGATTTATTTATTTATTTGTTGTCAGTGGCTAAAGTGATAAGTGGGACAAATAAAGACACATTAGTTTAACCAAAGTGATTGGTGATAATATTGTGATCCTAAGGAAATTTGAATACTCAAGCAGCAATGTATGACTCATAAATTCCACAAAATAAGCAAAGGATTTCATCTGTTGAAGAAAAATAACATTCATCGAAGGCAAGAGTATAGTTCAATAGTTTTTTTATGATTCAGTTGGTTGTTTCTTGGACAAACACGGTTCCTCTCATGGCCATCCAACGTCACTATCTCTAAGGGCTTCACCTGCTATTCCTTCAATTCAGACATGTCCTAATCATAAACAATTTCAGCTGGCATAGTGAAATCATTTTACCTTAAAAAGACACTAATATAAAATCATGTCAATGTTAAAAAAAGCGACATATAAGTGCAAGGTTACATTTTTTTTTATTTCTTAGTAAAATTTGTCTAATTAATTAAATTTTTTTAACCTATGTATCATTTATTACTATCAATATATTAAACTAAGTTGAACTCTATAATTTTTAACAAAAAATTATTATATATAAATTTTTATTATGTACATTATTATTATTATTATTATTATTATTATTATTATTATATTCAAAGAGAGTCACATTGGTGTGTGTGTGTGTATATATATATTATTACAGATTTCAGGTAATAAAATGCTGCACATATGTTTCATGAACAAATTTTGATTGGTAGTAAAATTTAAGGTAATATGCCACATTTAAAGTTAATTTCCTTGCTTGCACACATGTGAATAAAATTAGCAAAGAACACACCGTAAAAAATAAATGCACTAGTGATGATGGGACTTTCCATGTACCTCAGTGGAACTGCAAAAGCTTCCAAGTAATTGATTTTATATAACTGCACATGAAAATGATAAGTTAAGTGACATATTACAACAATTATTTAACAAAATGCTGAAGGTGGCATAAGATATGTAAAGATAGCAAGTTGTTGTGGCTGATAAGTTGAAACCATAAAAGGACAATAACTAAAAATAAGTGAGCAATTGCTGCTACTTCACGTGGAAGCAGGGTGTGTAGAATGGTCCCTCTTGGAGATTGTGATTCCTTTCTTAAGAGCATAATGTGATCATGTAGGGTAAGATGGGCCAGCTGCATTATCTCACATTCCAACAAGAAAAATCATACTTTATTTTATTTTTTAAAAGAAAAATATTTTATTCTTAAGTTTAACAAGAAAAATTCTGTGTCGGGAAGAAAGGGGGATACATTTTCAGTGCCATGTGTCTCCTGAAGGTGAAAGTTGAGTACAGTAAATTCATGCAATTAATCAAACTTGCATATTATTAAAAGGGACAACTTTGGATACAATGATAGCACAGATACCTTTGGTTAAATTTATATTTTAATCAAGGAGTTGCATACTTTAACGTGTGAAAGCTTAAGTGCAAACCCAGATAATAGTTGTTTCAATTAACAAGTGATTTGCTTAGTATTTTTTTCTTAGTGACTATTAAAACTAACCGTTGATTTATTGCATCTTGCTAAGGATTTATGTTAAGTGGTTAAAATTTGACTTAAGTGTAATCACTAGTTATGCCTAGACTTAGTTGAAAAAGGAATCTATACACTGAACCATTTCATCAACAAGCCAAAACAATTTATTAGAGGAACACCTTGTAAGGTTGAGCAACATCAACAAAAATGATATCTACCATACCAACTAGAATTTGGTAACTACTAGAATGTCTTTGTATCTACCACTTACAGATAAATTCAATTGTATAAGCAAGTCAACCCAAAAAAGAATTGCATATGCAAAAAGTATATTCCATCAACTTCCAAATTAAAGAGAAGCCTTGAAAGTATTTACTCTCTTTCTTCTTAAATTTTAACCAAACTAGAAACAACTAGCACACTTTCTGGCTCAACACTGATATATGAGAGGTTGATGTTCTTGATGCAGCTCCACAGTGAAAAACATGTGATCCAAGTAAATCAAGTATAGGTACCCCTATAGCTAACCTAAGAAACTAGAAAGCTAAATTTTGAGTAAATACTCAATTCACTCTTGTAAAAAATTGCTTAACTCAAATTGGTTCCTATAAAAATGAAAAACAAAATACTAAATAGTCTTTCAGGATTAAAAATTAGATACTTTAGTGTTCAGACTTTTTCTTTTTTTTTTTTACTTTGACTAAATTAGATCCAATAATAATTTTCAAGGATTGAATTGAATATTTTCTCTTGAATTTTTTAGCCTAAATGGAGGTTAGGTTGGTCTTTTAATAAGTTGTTAATTAGACTATAAATTTATATTAAAAAATATCATGTTAATATAAAAAATTATAAATAACTATAATTAATTTGCTTAAAAAATTCATATACTTTTGCATAATTTACTAAAAAATAGGAATAAGTAGAGTAATTATGAGTTTTAAAATATTTAAAGAAATTTCTTTTATAAGTATTACATATTATTATAAGATCTAGATTTAGTCCAGCTAACGCAGAAATTGGATGTCCAGTTTTATTTTTGTTTAAACAAAAATGGACTCGCTTAAGTGAAAATGTAGAAAATGACAAAAAAATTTATGTAAAATTAGCTTAAGCGAAATTTGTGCACTTAAGGATATGAAAGCTAGGTGTAGGAGAAAGAGAAGACTAAGGATAGATGGAGGATAAGGAGAGCGGTGACATAGGGGTGATTGTGAAGGGAGAGGAGGGTAAAGAGTTGATGATGGAGCAAAGAAGGAGATATAGGTATGAAATATGGTGAGAGTGAAAAAAAGAAGAAAGGAATTGGACAATTGATGGAAGGAAGAGAGAAATAGAGGAGTTGAATATGAAAGAAGAAAGAAAATTACATTAAAGAGGATTAAATATGAAAATTAAAGAGAGAGTGTGTTGGGCATGAGGAAGAGAAGAGAAAATTAAGAGAAAAGACGCAAAATTCGTTTAAAGAATCTACAAAATTCACTTAAACTAATTTTGTATAAAAAATTTATAATTTTAAATTTTTTATATTTTTGCTTAAGTGACTTTATTTTTTCTTAAGTAAAAATAAAATTGAATGTTTAGTTCTCGTGTAAATTGCACTAAATCCGTATTCATTATTATAATTAAACATCCAAAAATAATTTGAATAAATGTGAAAAAAAGCATATAATTAATTATGAATAAAGAATCGTTACTAAATAAAGTTACCTTCTTAAGGAAAATATTTTGACATCAGAAGTGACACAAATGTCACAATCAAGTGAATATATTATATCTAAATATAGTGTCTATCGTATGCTGTCCTGTGACCTTGATCACTTTGTTGATGCAAGTAAGTCTCTCGACTCTCAATGATTGCTCAAGTGATTAAAATATGGGACATGCATGAAGATTACTGAGATTTGACAGACAAAATATTTTTCATTTTCCCTCACCCCCGGGACCCAAAAAATACACACCAAATAATTATCCAATTTAAAAGTGTATTGATTAAAATAAATAATAACAGGCAATGTAAAAACCGAGATATATATAATATTAAAATTAGATAATATTATGTGCTAAATTTAATAAAATGGTACCTTCGATAATTGTTATGATATAATATAATAGTTAATTATTGTAATAATATGGTAAAGATTATGCATATAATTTTTCACAATTTAAACATTTATAAATATATAATATAACGATAACTATTTACATATGTTTTAAAAAGTATATCATTAATTAACATATATTAGAGCAATAATATATTAATTAGTATCATTGTGTACATGAATTAACTAATAAAGATTGTTTGAGTTTAATTCGCTCTATCAAGCTTAAATTTAAGTGAATGCAATTATATGATAAATATTTAAAAAAAGATCTTTATGTGTGTTACATGTTCAGAAACTCATTGTAAACATATTTGGCTCGAACTCCAGAGATACCTTTGGTCTAAAAAAAACAATGTATTAATCAGTATTTAAGCCGTTCAAAATTTTATATAAAAATTAAATTGAAGGATTAAATCGATAGAATTTACTTTAAATAAAAATTATTTAAAAATGTCGTTTTAAAGTTTGACGCTAAGTTTTTTATCCAAGTATAGAAAAAGAGTCACGCATCCTCTAAATATACAGTAAAGTTTATTGGATACAACTATTCTTATTTAAAAGAAAATGAGTTGGTCTCTTGGGCCTTGCGACATTAACACATAAAAGGCTATAAACATTCTTGTTTAGTATGTTTTGCTTTTTTACCCAAAAAAATTTGTTGGTTTGTTTACTTTTGCGTTTAAAACCCCACACGACAACTTTGCCCATTATTTTTGCTTTCACCACCCACCTTTCAAATTCACGCTTCTAACATCCTATATAAGACAAAGGAAAGTTCCCTACGCAAGGGTCATTTGGAGCTACATATCTAACCATTTTCCTTTGTTAAGATTTATTAAATTGTTGTTATCTGCATTAAGACAAAGTGGCTTGGTACCTAATTTTACTTTTTTCGAAGGTAGAAATTTGCAATGCTTACAACTTGGAGTATTCTTGTTTTAAGAAGAAATTGAACACACACATTATATGCCAAAATTAGATACAATTTACCCGTAATAGGATTTTAATCCTATAATTATGGTTATTTAAACTTTTAAAGGCACTTTTACTTTATAACATTTCCAATTAAAAATGAAACAAAACAATACAGAGCATTAAGATAGGACTATTGTAAGCTGACGTTGGCAATTTTTGCTACAACAGGATTATAACAGCTAGGTTGCTCCATGTAAACTCCACAACAAAGCTTTCTACTTGTATCAAAGGTTATGGAAGACATTAATCAACTGACACTGGCTGCATGTTTTCAGCTTCATTGCGAAGCTGTTGGAAGAGGACAGATGATAGGTATCGTTCCCCGAAACTTGGATGAACAGTCTGAGATTCAAGTCATCAATGGTCATCAAAACATCAGAGCAACAAAGAGAGAATTTTGCTGTCTAAAATCATAGTACTAAGCATTCTTTTACAAAATTGATTGAAAAAATTGTGTAGATGATTGCATAGTGTTGGTGCTTTTTGTGAATTTAGATAATGAGGCTATTGACACATTAGGCCTTAGCCTTTTTTAGCTTGATGTTATTTAAAGAAAATTGTTCTTACCACAATAAGTTTGCCTTTGTTTTCAGGCAGACTAGCCAATCTGAGTGCTGCAACTGTGTTAGCTCCAGATGATATTCCTACCTTGAAAAGTTAGAAAGAAAAAAATAGTTGCAATTTCAGAATTTCATTTACAATATAGAAATAGTATATTGCCTGTTTCTAAGGATTCATATGCAGGTCTTAGGGTGAAATCCATGGTTAAAAGAATGAATCTTAGAAATTCTCATGCAATCTTGTTTTAGGATAGAAAGTCTACAGAATTGTCATTTGAAGATTACCATGAGTCCTTCCTTCAAAGCCAACACTCTAGCCATGTTAACTGCATCTTCACTGCTAACCTACCACATAAGTGATAGTTAGAAGAAAAAAGAAGAAGAAGCTAAATCTATATCAAGAAGAAAGTAATATCTACACTTACTTCAAGAACTTTTTCCATTACATTCATGTCCAATATGTCTGGTTTGAATCCAACTCCATTGCCGGTTATATGATGTGGGCCTATACATAAAAGGGCAACATTAGAGTTTGCAATCTGTAAATAGAAGAATTTGCTTCGGAATATCACAGACCATAGTAACTATTTTTGTTACTTTAGATCTATATTTGAAGTCCCATTTGCTTTGATATTATGTTTGCCACTACACAAATGCCAGAAATGGCCATCAATGCAAACGTTTTAGAGACTTGCACAATTATCCATTTTCATTTTATCTTATGTGCCTTGGAAGACTGACAAACATTAAAGAAGGCAATATATAAAAAATTATCATGTAAAGGTAAGAGAATGTTCAAAAACTGAAAAAAAAACGCATGATCTTTACCAGGTTTACCACCATTCAGCACATTACTTTCACTTGGCTCCACTCCATAAATCTAACATGATAAAAAACAATTCAAGTGATTTAATGAGCACATCTAACAGAAAACTGTTCATTTTGTAATTTAAATTCTGATCTGAAAAGCTTCACCTTAACATTAGGATTTTTGGATTTAAGATATTGTCCAACCCCAGAGACTGTACCTCCACTACCAATTCCCATAACAAATATGTCAACCTGTCCATTTGTATCCTCCCATATCTCAGGACCAGTTGTTTCAAAATGCACCTGTTTCCCAATATGAAGTCAATTATAAATACATTCACCACTACAAATGCCAAAGATTTTCAGAACTATATCTAGTATTAAATTTAAGTGCAACCAAGCATTACACAAGTATATCATAGGCATAGTTTTACATATTTTCATTCTTAGTAAAATATTTCAAACTGAAGTAGTAATCTAGTTTCAGGTAACCTGAGTATTGGCTGGGTTTGAAAACTGTTGCAACATGAATGCATTTGGTGTGGATTCCAAAAGATCATAAGCCTTCTTTACTGTCCCTCCCATTCCCTTTGTTGGATCAGTGAGGATTAATTCAGCTCCAAATGCTCTCATGGTTACCCTTCTTTCCAAGCTTGTGTAAGAGGGCATGGTCAAAACCATCTTATATCCCTTCATGGCAGCTATAAATGCCATGCTAATACCCATATTGCCTGATGTAGGTTCTATCAGAGTTGTCTACACATCAATTAAGCTAAATGTGAGCATCTACATGTGAAAAACAGAACAAAATTGGTGCCTGTAATAAAATAAACTAACCTTTCCAGGAGATATAAGATTCTTTTTCTCAGCATCTTCAATCATTGCAAGTGCTGGTCTGCAAATACTCAAGAAAAATCACATAAGTTCTGTAAGAACATTAACTCTGATAACTATTAAGAATAGTGTGAAATCTCATCAAATTCAAAGTAAAAACAAAAGGGTACTCAAATTGGATTTGAAATAGAAAGGGGTTGACCTGTCTTTGATGCTGGCAGTGGGTTGCATCATCTCTTGCTTCACAGCAACATATGCTCCACATCCTTCAGTGACTTTGTTAAGATAAACCAGTGGAGTCCTTCCAATTAGCTGAAAAATGAATTGTTCTACTTCAGGTAAGCATTGAATAAGCGGCACTGTAATACATCCTCCAATAAACAAAATAGTTGTAAAAATAAAAACAAAAAAGTGAATTATTCTGCAAAATGGTTTCTTCTTCAACTTTTATTTTATTTCCTAGAAAAGGAAAAGGAAAACATAAAAATTAATAAATTGGTAGAAGAAAAATAGTTTTCTGTGTCTACAATTCTATGACTATCATATAGAAGAATAAAAAAAAAAAAAAGTGTTAACATCATAGTTTAAACAACTAATAATAACAAAGGTTTGTTAAAAAAAGAAAAATATTTATTACACTTTAGCATCTTTAACGTAATATAATATAACAAATGTTTCTTTTTCTAATAAAAATTTACTATGCTTAACAAAACTATATAAAAAAGGTTTCAACCAAATTCAAAACAGAAGAACTGCATTTTATGACAATAATCACGATTTTGCTGAAACAAATTAAAGCTGGTGTTGACATAGCACAATATCATGTCCAGATTTCTTTTCATTAGTTTAGTAGATTCTCTAGACTTTATTGACATTAAGTTGTAATTAATTGTGTTCTCTTGAATTTCAAATTTACTGTGTTTATCATAATTAAAAAACTCGTTATCATAGACAATAAATCAATTGAATTCAGTCCTTGAATCTCTATATAATTATCCCAAGATCTATACTAAGAATTCCAGATACCAGAGAGCTTCACGAACCAACTCCACATAAAAAGAAGAAAAAAAGAATCTTAAAAATTTCATTCCAAAATTCTTTTGCACTTTTGGCAGATGATGAAATGATAGAATTGTACACGTGGCATAATTTGAGTGAACAGAAGCAAACAGCCGCTGAAAAACAATTACAGCCATTCGGTTGAAGCTAACACCAACCCAGGTCGCATGTTCTCTCATAATGAAAAATAGAGAGAGAGAGAGAGAGAGAGAGAGAGAGAGTTACCTGGGTAACATGCTTCTTGATGTTGGTTCCAGGAAGATCCTTAGGCAAATCTCTGATTCTCTGAGCAAAAGAAGGAGAATCAACGATGGTTTCTGCGGAAAAGAACCTCCTCATCATGGGGTGGTGACATGCAACACCATATGAAGAACACTTTTGCTTGAGGAAGCTCCTGAGTGAAGCCATTGGTGAAGAACTTGGGTTGAATTGTGAATTGAAGATCTCAAGGTGGAAGGAAGAGTCCAACTTAGATTTGAATGGGTGTGACTAAAGATGACCACATTTGATTCATCTGAAGGAAATGCTGTCATTTGTTCAATATAATATATGTGTATCACTGTGTGGTGGTGTGCTACTAATACAATATAATAGGCAATTTCTATTTTGATTCATGTTCTTTAAATCATTAGTCAATTGTTTATAACTTTATATCTAATATATAATAATATATTACTTCCAATGTCACACCCAATTCAGAAATTGTAGAGTCATTTGGGCGAATTATTTCTTATATGTGTGCATAAAAAAAGTTATTAAGAGCAAAATAATAATTTATATATTTTAAAAGATATTGTTTTTTGTTTATTAATTGAAAAATATTTTGAATACACACCATCTATCTATTAATTTTTTAATAATAAAATAATGCTAAACCACGGAATATAACATTATTATTAAGTAAATACAAATATATTAAAGATGAAAAATAAATATTTAAAATGTATTAATATTAATATAATTAAATTAAATAAATACTAAAGCTAAAATTGAAATTAAATTCTAATTTTTTATCTTTCATCTTTTTTGTTGTTTTGATATGTTTTTCTTCTTCACACTTTTTCTTACAATATACGTATGGTTTCAATTCTTCACTCTTTACTTTTAGATATATTAACATGTCACAATTTTTCTTAATCTTCAAGTTAGTGGAAGAAATTTTTTTGTTTTAATAAATCATTTTTCTAAATCTCATTGTCAATCATGATGCATCCCATTTTACAATAAAAGAAACAATTGACGACAGGAATTAAGAGTCAATCGGATTTCCTAGTTTGATTTATTCGTTATAAAATCGGAGTGTCAATTATCACTATTGACTATTGAGGATATTTTTTATCATTAATTTCCCAGTTTTGATGCTTCTAATCTAATGGGAATATTTTTGGTCTTCAATTCAGTTTTATAATTTTTAGTTTTAATTGTGTATATTTAGTTTTTTAATTGTTTAAATTAAGTTTTTTTATTTCAAAATTTTGTATAATAATTAATAAGAATATGATACATATGTGATATATTATTTATTTTATAAATTAATAAAAATGTTTTAAAATATAATAAAGATATTTCATTAATTATTTTATATTTTAAACAATTAAAAACTAAAAGAATTAAATATGAACAATTAAAAGTTCACATAAACTATATAATGAGGCTAAAAAGTGTAAATAAGTCTAACAAAAAGGAATTAAGCCTTCTAATATCATTTTATTATTTTTCCATTTCGCTCAACATGTATTAACGCTGTGCATTTTCCTTTTTAGATTCACTGTTTCTATTTCTATTAAGTAATTTAGAGGTTTTCTAAAAAAAAAAATATTTTTCTAAAAATTATAAACATGGTTGATAAACAATTTCTTTGCTAAATGAAGACATATTCGAAATAATATTTGTTTTTACTTATTTATTTTTAGTAAATCTATATTTATTTACTAATAATATGGCATCTGTTGCTTCAACATCACACTATTATAAATTAAGTCGACGTTCTTTTGTATTTTTATTTTATTTTATCGTACTTCGATAATTAAAAATATTATTTCTTATGGCTTTTGGATTTCATATTCAAAATTACAATAAATAAACATGGTAATAAATTGATTTAATATAGTCTTTTGGTTTTTTATTTATCATTTTAAGAAATTGAAACAAAAATTAAAAAAAAAATTAGTAATTTTATATAAAAATAATATATTTAATAAAAAATTAAAATTACTGTTGAATTAATAAATCTCATGTTTTATAAAAGAAAGTTATTAAAATAATGTAAATGTGGAAAGTATGAGATTTGAAGAGACGGTGACATTTTTATATCGCATAGGAAGTGGAGATGAAAAGGAGGCGTCATAGGAGGCTGCGCAACTAACGTGTGGTTCAGTGGATGTGACCATTGGCTTCGAAGAAGAGTCAAAATAAACTATCACCTTATGTCATCAAATATTCCCTTTTAACCAAAAAAAATCTAGTTTCGTCGCTTTCATTTGTAAATATTACAATATTATAAGTTGGATCAAGAATGTGGTTAATTCATGACTCTTGGATCAAGTGATTTGTCATCGGAAGTGATGACTTTCATGGTTGAAGACATAACAACATGTTTCAAACTTGGCTTTTGAAGTTGCTATTCAATGTTTTACTTCTACTTTCACCAACACCATTTTGATTTGGTGAGTCAGGTATGGTGCATTGGGCCACAATACCAGCATCATGAAGAAACTTCACAATGGAGTATGAGGTACCTGTCCACCCACACACTATTTGCCATAAAATTTGTTAAGCATCTAAACTTTATCTTTATTATGAAGTAAGTAATGAGTGATAAACTTTGTATAATCATCTATAAAAGATATTATGTATTTTTTACTATGTAAGAAGACCATGTTAGAAACACAAGAAATGTAGCACACACGAAGTGCTTCAAGCCTTAATCCCTAAATCAGTAGCTCACATTTTATAGCCATACACATCATCAACACAATAATTTTATCATGCCAAAGGAAAAAAAAATAGTACCAATTAACAATCTTGTTTGTTAATGGGCCTAGCAAGTATCACATGCAATTATTAGAATGAAATTTAAGTCAGGTTCTCCGACTAAACTTGTTAAAATATAAAATTTAAGCTTTAAATTGTTTGGCATACTTTATTTAATTTTTTTCTTTAATCGTATTTAAGTTAGTTTATTCTATTTAGGTGTAAAATATGAATTTGAATCTTATTTTATGGTCCAAATAAAAAAAACATACTCTTTTACCTAAATTCATGAAACCTTATCCTTGAATCGAATGGAGTAACTATTTTTTCAACTCTAATAATAATTAAAGTAGCAGTAATCTAACCAATGCAATTTAAACAATATAGACAAAGTAAAAAAAAAAAAACAAATGAATGCTAAAAAAGAATTAAATGATAGATTTATCCCTTAATCCAACCTTTTACATATTTTTCAAATTAAAATGCATTCACACATGAGGAATGGTTGAGTTAAACAACCTCAGTTTTAGTTAGTGTAAAAAATATTACAGTACCATCTAACAACATAGTATCTTATTATTTGAGTTTGATAATTTACACATATCATTAAATTCATTGAATAGTATTTGCTCATTTCTTTTGTAACATAGACAAAATCATTGACTAGTACCATTAGTTATTATTAAATGATAATACAAACATTTAATATTGATAATTAATATAAAGTTAATTCTAATAAAATTTAATGTCTTTTATGCTTGTAAATATTAGTCGATTTTTTAAAAAAATAAAAATAATTGAAATAAATTGTTATTGTTTTGCCATTCCATCAATCTCGTAAAAGCTCATATTTTCTAGTTTTTTCACAAGTCTATTTTTTTAAGAGAAATTATTTTTATATAAATTTTTTTGTAAAAGCATTATTCAACAAAAAAAAAAAAAAAACAAGAATATACTGAGGTGGAGATATATTTGTCATATTCTATGTAAATATTTGAGGAATCATTGCATTTTAGATTAGGAGTTTATTTTTAAACTTTAGATGACAGAATTTAGTAAAAAATTGATAAAATTTAAAAGATTTTATAAGCCGGGAGAATAGGATTTGAAGATAAGAAAAATTATTTTTTAGCTAAAATTTAATATTTGGGTTGACAAATTTTAAGTAAAATAAGTTTTAAAAAGTTGATATAAATTATTTTAAACAAAAGTTTAGTAAAACATAAGAATGTAAAGTTTTTAATTAGATAAAGTTGACAATAAAATTAAATATCCTTGATTTAAATATGATTTTAAATTTCCTTAATTTAAATTGAAAACAATAATATAATTAAATCAATAGTATATATGTTTATATATGATTTTTGAATATTAACTCTTGAATAAAAATGTTTTTAGAAGTCTTAAAACAGGAAGTTTTTATGTGTTGTGTTGAATATTTACTATATATCCCTACATATAATGTACGAGGGTTAATTTTAAATAATAGTATTTTATAAATCATTTTAAAGCACTTTTAGGTATTAGTTTACTTCCTCGTTATACCACATGAATTTCCATGCATTGAACATTTAATATTTTTAATTTAATTTAATTTAATTTTTTTAAATTATTTTTTGTTCAGCCTAACTTAATATAATAAAATATTTATTATTAATAATTAACATAATATAATAAATTAATAAATAATTATAAAATATATTTTAATTAAAATTTATTTTAATTTAGTAATATTTATATAAGAGTAGCAACTTTGACAATAGTTACTTTAGATAAATCAAACATTTATAAATATGTAATTTTATAATCAATATTTACTTGAATTTAAAAAATGTATATTAAATATTAAAATAAATTTGTTTAATGAATTGTTAATTTTCTTATGAATTTTCATAGATTTAATTTGTCTAAGAAAATATTTTAATTGAATAGTTAAATTAACAAAATTCAATGGTTACAAAAAGTTGTTAAGTAGGTAATTTTTGTTAGAATTATTCTTGAAATAATTTGATTTCCGCTTTTTGTACAACGTAAGAAACTTATTTGCTCTAATTTTTATTTTTATTTTTATTTTTGGCAAAACGGATGAAATGATTGTTATTGAATATATTAAAAAGAAAAATTATCTTCATTTAAAGGATAATATATTTTAATTTTCATTAATGAAAAATAACTTACACAAAAAAAAAAAAAAACTATAAACAGACATGCAAATAACCTGTAGGATTACCTAAGACCATAAGATTTAGGCAAAACACTGTGGTCTTAAGTATAAAAATAAATTATTCTAATTTAACATATAACTCTGATTTTTTTTTTTGTTAATATGTAACTTTGAATTTGAATCTTATAAATGTAGTTATATTAGATATTTAAATAAAATTTTTTATTGCTTTTATTAACTATAATGGTCTTAAGTATAAAAATACTTCCATATTATATTAATCTTTAAAATTATTTTAATTTTAAAATTTATAAATTTTAATCATCTTATTTTTATATTTTCATTAACTAAAACATTTTTAATAATTTAAAAAATTAGATTATTAATATTCATAATTTTAAATACTAATTTAATCCATTACTTATATATAAAAAAAAAGGTTGAATACATTGCTGTTTATTAAAATTATCTCGAGAGAACAAGCTTTATAAATATATATATATAGAGACAAAAAAGGTTGAATACATTGCTTTATTAATTGAGAAGAATTTGAAACATTTAGACAAAAAACACTGTGGCGTTAAGAGTGTTTGGAGAACCATCCAATCTATCGTGTCAACTCACATTTATAGAGGTACAACAATTAGTTGGTCGCTACCGATATTATATTTAAACTAAATTAAATAACTTAAGAAAAATTTATTAAAAATATTAATTAGATATAAACCAAAAGAATATATTCCACAAAACAAAAATTTTTGTGATTATTTAAAAAATAAAATACTAACAAATATATTAATATTACTCTCAAAATACCACTAAATAGGTGGATTAATTAACAACGATAAAAAAAATGAAATATGAAAGATGTAAATAAAAATAAAATAGAGTAGAAATGATGTATTATTTAGATAAATAAATAATATAAAAATATATTTATAATATTTAAAAAAATATATATAATTTTAAAATTTTGTTATTTTATTAGATATTCTTGTGTTAGTATAAAATTATTAATTATTTTTTACAAATTTATTGCTATAAAATATTAATTTTACTTTTTAATAAATTAAATAAAAGTAAAAAAGATTGCACCTGGTCAGCCGCTGCATTTCATGCTTAAATAGAAGAAAAATGCTTAGACATGAAAATATCTTTTTGTTATGTGTCCATTTCAGTTAAATCAAACCAGTAAAATGATAAAAGCACTCTATTTTAACTCTTACAGTTTCAATTCCATTAGGGACAATTTACTTAAGCTTAATATTTGAAGTTTTGATATCAATATTCATACATAGTCAATATTTGACATTTTATGATGGCACTAGGTGGGTTTGGAATGTTAGTTGGCGAAGAGGACTCTTTCAACATAATCTCAAGCTTTAATCTTTTGTTAGAGTTTGTAGATAAAGTTTCTATTAAGTTACTACAAAAAGATAAATAGGTATGGAAGGCAGATTCTTCAGGTTGTTATTCAGTACAATCTGTGTATTCATGACTATTTGAATTTTTTGGTGGTCCTAATAGTGTAGATCAGTGTATGGCAGATGCCTTGCAAAGGCTATGGAGAGGAAATGTCCCTCTTAAGTGTTTGGTATTTTCTTAGCAATTGTTGCTGAATGCACTTCTTTGTAAGGGTTTGCTGATTGATTGAGGTATTCAAATTGATGATATAACTTGTTGTTTTTGTCATAGTTTGGAGGAACTTCCAACTCATTTATTTTTAACGTGTTCAGTTTCATCTCAAATCTGGTACTTTACTGCGTGTTACTTGGATTCTCACTGGTTTTGCCTTCAAATATATCGACTCATTTGCTTTCTTGGATTGATGTTGACTGTAGTAAAAGAGAAGGGATATGCTTATTAATTGTTTGGGTAAGTATAGTGTGGTCTTTGTGGTTACATAGAAATAAAATTGTATTTTCTAATGGTGTTTTGGATGAGAGGAAAGTTTTAGATTCTATTATTCTGAGGTCCTGGAAATGACTATCACTTGTTAGTACGTGAGAAGCTATTTTGTTAGCTGATTGGTATTTGAACCTACAAAATTGCATCCGTCTTAACTTTGTATAAGTATATTTTTGCTTTTTATTTCTCTGAGTTAGTAATTTTTTTTCTGTGTATATAAGTTTTGAGTTCTCCTTGAACTCTCTCTAATAATATATGTTTTGCCTATAAAAAAATGTCAATATTTGTGTTTGCCAACTCAATATTTCGTACACATTCAACCATATTATATTAGTCAGTTATGCCTATGATCGCATTTTTTTGACAAAAATGGATATACTATTCATCACTCACACTCATGCTATCATTTTATTTAATAAGGTATATCATTTATTTCTTATTATTACTCTATTAGTAAAATTATAATATTTAATATTGATAAATTATTATTTTGTCACTTTGTTAGTAAAATTTCAGTCTATTTTATAACAATTTTTATTTTATTTTTTAAATTAGTTTTATCATTTTTGGATAATCCTACTCTCATTCTTACCACCTACATTGGAAGAGACTAGATAACATTATTCAATAAAATTTATTCTATGTGTATTATTACTCAGATTATTCATATTTTATTTTTTATAATTCATTTTTTATCTCATTATATACTTTTCATTTCTGTTTTCTTATCTTTTTATGCATCAATCAATGCAAATCTAAAACGATTGCTGTTGTCCGCAATTGGGAGGACCACCAATTTACTCATACACATACCTCTCTGTGATCTCAAAAGTTGTGGACACAATTTTTTTGTTCCTCACAGCAACTATGAAGATTTTAATTTTTTGCAATTTAAAAAGGTTTTTTAATCATTATTTTATTACTTTTTAAATGTGTTGTGTAATATTATTAATTAATGTATTAAATTTTATTATTTATAATAACAATTATAGCCCGTAATCTTTTGCCAAAACAAGGTGGTGGGATCTTCGTTGGTTGTGTGTATTCAGTAAATTGTAGAATATTAACAATATATTTTTTCAAACACTTTTCTAAATTATTTAAAATTCATTAAAAATTATGAAATTATATTTTATATTTAACAAGTCTCAATCACAATTATGTACTTTTTAGATAAAAATAATATTTTTTTATACAAATGTGTAAAAATAATATGTGATGTCCACTCCTCATCTATCAAATCTAATCCCATTTATGGAGCTAGAAGAATTAGTTGGACCGTACCCGACAATCTTACCAATTGGCTAACATTTCGAACGTACTCGTAGTTATAAATACAAAAATTAAATAAATAAAATTATTTAGTTAATTAAATTTTATTTTAATGATGTTTTATAAATATAATTCTCCTAGCTAATACTTGTATTACAGTTTTAGTCTTTTTCATGTATATGTTAGAATTACTTAAGATAAAATTATATTACTTTTTAGGTTTAATCGTAGTTCTAATTTTTATACTTTAATCAATGTGTAATTTTTGTTTTCATATTCAAACAATGTATTCCATTTTAAATTTTGATTCAATAACCAATTAAAAATATAATATATCATCTATTTATAAAATTTGAAAACAAAAAAGTATAAAAAATAATTAAATAAAATTTTTTAATTATAATTTACTCATTTTATATACTATAATTATTTAATGTTTCCACATATGATTTCGAAATTAATATATTCATCGTCTCTAGTTGATTATTATACCTCAAAAACAAAAGATCAGAAAGATGCAAGACCCGGAAATTTCTCTCCTCATTGTATGGTACAGTCCCATGTGAGAGAACGAATTCATGTTCCTGAATTTTATTTTTGGGTTGAAATTACTCTCATTCAAAGAAGGGTTTACTTTTTAGAAAAATATGTCATGAACATGTAAATAGATATCTAAAAGTGTATCTTACCTTGTAGAGATGATATTTTATGGAAAGAGTGTATATATATAAACCTAGAGATAAGTATAATTATACATGGCGCATATACAGTACTAATTTTTATTAGTTTTAAATAATGAAACTGTTACCCTTTTATATAGCAAAAACATTAAACTATACAATCTTCGTGTATATATATCTATAGTTTTGGAAACTCTTAAGCTCAGAGCAATGGAGCATTCTAAAGAGGAGTTGACAGAGCCAGTGAGTCCCCTTGGACAATGCTTTGACAGCAAGTATCTATCTTTGTATCTTCTGGTTGTCTTTGAATTTGAAGTCCCAATCCATGGCTTACAAGTTGCGTCCCTCGCCAAGGATGCCCTTCTCTCCATCCCTCGCTTCTCCTCCATAATGGTTCTCTTTCCAACACATAATCAACTTTATCTTATAAATTATTTTATATATAATAATATGATTGTCCACATATATATATAGCCTTATTTTCACCATATTCATGCATGTTTTTATTATAATCATTAATTTGAATGATTGAGATCACAGGTTTGTGATGGAGGAGTGAAAAGATGGAAACAAGTTCATGTGAAATTGGAGGAACATATCATTGAGCCTACATTCATAGAAGGCATGTCGATGGATTCATATGAAAAGGCTTTTGATGAGTACTTTTCAAGAATAGCAATGGAGAAGCTACCACAAACAAAGCCATTATGGCAATTGCATGTGATCAAATACCCAACAACCAATTCTGCTGGAACCTTAATAATCAAATTTCACCATGCAATTGGAGATGGTTACACTCTGATGGGTCTCCTTCTTTCTTCTCTACAAAGAGCCAAAGACCCATCTCTACCTTTGTCTTTTCCATCACGCAAATCATCTAAAGAGACAAGAAAAATTTTCTTGCGGAGAGTGCCTAAGTGTGTCTCCACGGCCTTCAATACCGTGCAAGAATTTGGATGGAGCCTTATGAAAAGTACTTTGCTTGAAGATGATAGAACACCAATAAGGTCTGGAGCTGATGCAGTTGAATTTCGCCCAGTTGTGGTATCACACATCACATTTTCGATTGAACATATCAAAGAAATCAAGTCTAACCTTGGAGTGGTAAGATTAATTTATCGGTTTTTTTATGTTTATTCTATTGCTTAGATATATTATTAATTTGTTTGTAAATTATTCACTAAAATTAATTTTTTAATTTGTCTAAAATTAAAGCTTTAGTTCATATTCATCCAATTTTTTTTCCGAGAGAGAGAGAGAGAGAGAGAGGAGTACTTTTTATCCTTGTCATTATTCTTAACTAATGAAGTAATTAATAGAGTTTTGATGAGTCAAACAACTTGTCAACTCAATTTTATTGTAGGTCTCATATCATTTACGAAATATGTACTACATTATGGTTCTCGCTTCCTCTAGAGTTTGGGTTTGGCATTTATCTAAAAAGCAAGCACTTTATTCCTATAATATCCCCATTTTTCCAATCAACTTTCCTCCCTTTCTCAGAAGAAATTTATTGTATTTGTAACATATTTTTTTAATAATTTTTTAATGTGTAATCAATAACATATTATAAAAATTTATTATAATAAAATATTACAAGATTCAATCTATTAATAATACCAACATTATAATTTTTAATAAAAAATTATTATTTATTTATTTTTATTGTATGCCATTGATTATTGAACACACGTTAAAAAAATCATTCTTTTAAAAAAAATTATTAACTTTAATTTTTAGAGTTGAGTTTAAGAAACTAATAGCAAAAATATTTATTATATTTTAATATTAATAAATGTGTTCTTTATTCATTTTGAATAAAAAATTATTATTTTTAAATGTTTAAGGTTGAAATTAACTAAACCTTTTTTTAAACAGATTTTTTATAATTAAAAATATTATATGAAGCTTATTAAATGACATGGAGTGATTTCACTCTTATTTAATAAGACTTGCTACCTCTTTTTATTTATCCGTCCAAAGAAAAAAAATTTACATAGATCAACCAATTCAATAGTTAAAATTATTTGTTAAGTTTAGTAATTTACTTTTTATTATTGAATTCATGCTTGACTCTTAAACTACTCAAACATTATACTCAAATTCTTTAAGATAAACATCAAACTATTTTTTTTTAATATAAAAAGTGTAACTAAATAGGTCCTCTTAAAAAAATTGAATTATCAAATTAGTCTTTCAAAAATTTAAATTGTTATCAAAATAATGTTTTAAAAATTTTGTCACAAAATTATTCTTTCAAAGACTTAATTTATCATCAAATTAATTCTTCGAAAAACTAAAATGTCATCACACATATTAATCCTTATAAGGATTAAAGAGGTAGAAACAAATTATCTTTAAAAATTTATCTTGATAATAAATTTAATCTTTAAAGAAAAATTTGAATTTTCATAAATATTTATATAAAACTAAAATAGTGATATAAAATTAATTTGGTAAAAAATTTAAAAGAAGTTAACATATTAATGATTTAAAATTTAAAAAGTTAATTAAGTGACTTAAATATTTACTCAACCTACCATTTGGTTACGCTTTCGCGAGAGAATTAACGTTTTTTTTTTCTTCCAAATTCTTTATTACGGAGAAAAGATGATCTGCTACGGATCAAGACTAGATCCAAATTTAAAATTCAAAACAAAACATGATATTAATTATTTTTCCATTGTGTTTGTCGTTATTGTATAAAAAGTAAATATATATCAATGTACGTATTGCAGACTCTAAATGATGTGATTACTGGAATAATCTTCTACGGGCTTCGGCTTTACATGCAAGATGTTGACTATAGAGCAAGAGCACTGAAGTCCACTGCATTGATAACAGTGAACACAAGAAATGTTAAAGATTACAACAAAGTGCAGGATATGCTAAAGACTAATGCAAAGGGTGCTTGGGGTAACCAAATTGCTTGCTTGCATGTGTCAATACCCAAATTAGGAGACACCCCAATTTCAAATCCACTCTATTTTGTAAGGAAAGCACACAATTCAATCAACAAGAAGAGACATTCTTTTGCCACTCATTTGACTGGCATGCTTCTATTGATGAAGAATACGCTCAAAGGCCCTGAGGTGAGTTACAAAATGGATTATTTGGCAAGGATATATATATTTTCTCTTCTTTTACTTGCTTGTGCTTATTACTTAAATTAATAGTTTTTAACACACTTAACATGTAGCTGTTTAATTATTAGATGATGTAAATGCTAATTAGACTGTAGTTATTTTTCTTGGAGTCAAGTTTTCTATTATCATCCTTAAAATCACTACACAAAAAGGTTATTTATTAATAAAAAAAAAGTTAAATATTAAAATTGCATCATGATATAATTTTTACCTAGTAAAATTTTTGTTGATAAAAATAGTGTGGCTCAGCCTTAATAATACGGTGCACTGTAGTAATATTTGATTTATTAATAATGTATCAGTTTCTTGTAATACTTATAGTTTAATTTTTATGTTCAATAAAGATTATACTGATAAAAGTTAATTTAATACTAAATTGTTGATATATAATTTTTTAGTGAATATTTCCACCATGTATTACAAAAGAAGATTTTGCTTTGGTTAAATGATTATTGTTGTAATGATGTTACAGGCCATGGCTAAACATATGTACAAGACAATAAGAAATTCTAGCATAACGATCTCAAATATGATTGGACCACTTGAGCAAATGGCCTTGGGAAATCATCCCATAAAGGGCTTCTTCTTTACGGGATCAGGCAATCCTACGGTAACTTAACTCTTTATATCTTCTTCTAACAAGTACAAAACTTGATCTACAGTAATTAAAAATGGAGTATATGTTAATATATATGATACTATGAACACACTCTTAAGAGTTAATCGTATAAAACACTTTTAATTATTGAGTTAATCTTGTGTGAGCCTCATTAATAAAACGGGACCCAACCCTTGCCTCCTTGCTACAAAAGTATATATAAATATTTCTGCAATGCTCTCTTGCATGTTGGAAAAAATAAACACTATATATCTTCTTGTTTCAGAGTCTAAAAATTTCAATTATGAGCTATATGGGGATGCTAAGGGTGACCACTACAACAGAAAAAGGATACATAGATGAACAAAAGTTAGTGGGGTACCTGAACAATGCCTTTGAGACACTACGTCGCCAAGCAGCTAAGGAGAATATTCCCAGTTGAAACAATTTTAGAATATCAAAACCATTGTCAAAGTATTTGGGAAAAAGATATATTCTTTGCATCCTTTGGGATGTAGAGAGGAGTAGAGAGGGAAATAGAGTTAAAAGGTGATGAATAATGCAATATATATGTGTGTGTGTAAAAGAAATGTTGAAAGAATAATAGAGAAAGAGGGAGAGAAATGTAAAAAAAAAATGTCTGTGGCTGTGTGAGAATATCATCATAAATTAAATATTTGTAAGAAGGATCATGTAAGCATCTGGTTATCATAGGTTCTCACATTATGTATAATGTGTATGTCATGATTGAACTATTTTTAGAAATTATGTTAATATAATTGATTATAAGTATAATTAACTATTGTTATAGTTAATTACATGAAATAATTTTTATATTTGAATATGTTAAGTGAAATTGAGGAAATTAATTTTAATATATTTTATAAATAAAAAATAATAAATATGTTATTGTAATGATTAAAATTACGTTAAAGATATAAAATTTTAAAAGAAAAAAATTATTTTAAGTCGAGCTAAAAAAATATTTAATATTTATAAAAAAGTTACATGACGTAACAAGAAAAGGAGAATAACTCCTACAATTAAAGATAACTTCTAAAAACAAGCATTCAATTATATATGACTGAAATATCAATTTTATTCAAGTGAAACTTTACATTCAAATTTTTTGCATAAAAAATAATTATAAAATTTTATTTCTTAATTTAAGTCATTTGACATTATTTAATATCTATGTTCATTTAAGAGATAAAGGTATAGATTTAATTTTTTTTCAGATAAATTCCTATCTTTAAGTTTTGTGAATTAAAAAAGTGTATTAAGATGATTTTAATTTTTACAAAAACTCATTAATCGATTTAAATTATTGGTGACATAAAATAAGTTTGAAAGATGAATTACACATCCCTATTTCTCCCAAATTTCAAAGATGCCTTTTTAGACATCCATGAGTGTATTGGGGTTTGAATGGAAAATAAGTAAATATATCCTACTAATTGTCACCTAGAAAAATGAATAGAGCATTTGAAAACATGCATAGTCTAAAATGCTCATGCACAATCACAGTCAGAGAATTTCTTTGCTTGAAGGAGATTGTTGAGTCAATGGGTCAATTATTGGTCCAATCTGATGAACCTTCTATATTATAATAAATAACCAATTATTTTTAAATGTATTTATTTTAACAATTTCTCTATATCTTTATTTACTATAAAATTTAAATTAATAACACACTCACTTGTTATTGATATAAATGGATCAACTTAATCATTTATTATTACAATATTTTGAAAATATGCTATTAAGTTATGATGTATAATTATTTTTTTTAAAAAAAGAAGAGAGTTAATGATAAGGTGTGAGGATAGGAACGGTGGTGGGTTGGTGTTGTATGGCTGCTCCATCGAATTCCGACGCACTTCAACAAAATTAATTAATACACTGTCCGTCTGCCCCCTACTCTCTTACTTTATATACTAAACATTCAATTAGAGCAATTTAACAATATTTTTTCTTTTTTATTTTTCTTAATTAATTTAAATTTTTTTATGCCATATCTATTTTTTTTCATTTTTACTCAATCAAATACATTTTTTTAATATATACATAATTTTTTCATATTAGTATAAATTTTAAAAAAATTATATTTATTTAAATTTTTTATTTAATTTATATTTAAAAAATTTTATACTCAATCTAAATCTTATATTTAATTTATATTTGATATATATATATATATATATATATAAATATATAAAAGTTTGATATAATTAATATATTACTGTGTCTTTCAGGTAAACTAACTGGTATTCTATTAACAGTGTGTACAAAAGTAACTTCAAATTTTCACATGAATCGTCTTTGTCGTCTTTGTAACTTAAAAGGAATAATTTTTAACTATCAATTAAAAGATACCCTTAACGTGCACGAAAATAAAAAACTAACATCCATCTAATCGTTTAATTTTAAAGTCTTATAAAATATATTTTAGTGAGTAATAAATCATTTAAAATAAAAAACAACTAATATATACACAAATGATTAAATTATGTAATTTTTATGATAATATTACAATAATTAATGATTAGATGGATCAAAATCTAACTCCATTGATTTATAGGGCATTAAGAAATTGGTTGGTCCGTACCCATTACCATCGCGCGTTGAAGAATTAGAAAAAAAGAAGAATGGATCATTTCAAGTCTTAATAACTTATGACTGTAGCAAGCGTTACGTGTATCATATAAATAGTTATAAATATAGATATAAAGTTAAGAATGCATTAATATTAATTTTAAAAAAATTCTGAAATTAGCGGGACAAATATTTATTAATAATAAAAATATAAATTAAAATGCATGAAATGCAGATCTTTGAAATATTTCTTTTAATTAAATAATAAAAATTAAACTATAAATATTGTTTTGATTGGGTTTTATAAATACTCAACTCTGTTTATTGATTAAAGACATTTAAAAATTAATTAAATATGATTTTTAATCATATAAATAATTTAAAATGTTAATTTAATTTGATATAAAAATATCAAACAAAAATGACAGTATAAACACGTGCGATTATTTAAGGAAAAAAAATCAGTAGTCATTTTAAAGTATATGATTATTCAATTTATTATAGAGGGTGTATACTGCTTATAAAAGATCAAATAACGAAGATTTCTGATTAAAATCAAATACGTGTACCAATTGATGAGGAATTTACTTATGATTCGAAAAATTGTTTGCATTCATTTATTTCAAGTAGGATAGAAAAGTTAAAAAAAAAAAACATTAATTAAAGACAGTAAATTATCTTCTATATATATGTTCGTCCAGAAGCATAAACATCATAGAAACTACATAGTATCTAATAAGCTTATAGCGTAATGGTGCATTTTAGAGATGAGTTGAGAGAGCCAGTGAGTCCTTTGGGACAGTGCCTTGACAGCAATATTCTGTGCGTTTATATTCTTGCTGTCTTAGAATTTGATGTTCCAATCCATAACTTGCAAATTGCGTCTTTGCTTAGAGATGCTTTTCTTTCCATCCCTCGCTTCACCTCTATAATGGTTCTCTCTTTCCCCTTACACTCCATGCACACCATGGTAGTTTCATGAAGCTATACGTTTCAATATCCATGCACATATCATCCAAAAATATATCACTTTTACATGTTTATTGTCATTTTTATTTAAATATTTTTGGTTTAAAATATCTCTATTATTAATATGGCTATAATATGCATTTTTTTATTGAGTGAGTTTTTGAAAGAACTTGCAGAGAGTTTGTGAAAATAACTCATGACTTGCACTGCATAACTTGTCAAAATTATCTCTTTTAATTTATTTTTTTCAATAAATTTTATAATTAAATTGATACCATAAAAATTAATTAAATTTGAATACGTATATACTTAATAAAATCTCCTTACTCAAATGCAGTCTAATTATATATGCTTGAGAACAGGTTCTGGATCAAAAAGGAGTGAAAAGGTGGAAGCAAGTTGAAGTGAAGTTGGAGGAACACATCACTGAGCCCACATTCATAGATGGCATGTCGATGGATTCATATGACAAGGCTTTTGGTGACTACTTATCAAGGATAACAATGGAGAAGCTACCACAAACAAAGCCATTATGGCAAGTGCATGTAATCAAATACCCAACAAGCAATGCTGCGGGAACATTGGTATTCAAAGTTCACCATGCAGTTGGAGATGGTTACACCCTAATGGGTCTTCTTCTTTCTTACCTACAAAGAGCCGATGATCCATCTCTCCCTTTATCTTTTCCATCACGCAAATCATCCAAAATTACTAGCAATTGCTTTGATCAGCTTCAAAAAGTGCCTAAGTTTCTCTCTACAATCTTCAATTCCGTGTCAGATTTTGGATGGAGCCTTATGAAAAGTACTTTGCTTGAAGATGATAAAACACCAATAAGATCCGGAGCTGATGCAGTTGAATTTCGGCCACCTGTGGTATCAAACATCTCATTTTCGATTGACCATATCAAAGAAATTAAATCTAAGCTTGGAGTGGTAAGATTGACCAGTTTTTTATTTATTTCGTTTATAAGGTTAAATATGCTGTTGGATCCTATGAAGTACTACACTAAATTTGGTTATTTTTCGATTATCTTTTCTTTTTCTTTTGTAACAGTTCACGTACCTCTTCATAAATGTGAAAATGAAGTCATACCTCACGATAGACCCATCATCATCATCATCATTGAATTATTTATTAGAGACATGGCAGTTAATATGCATTGATACATAGAGAGTTCATCATCTAAATTAGGACCAAGAAAATACTTTTTATTTATTATTTTTATAATTAAGATTTATTAAAATTATTTTTTTATTATAATATTTTATTATGATATAGTAATATATTAAATGAGATAGTTTTTTCATGAGAGTAAAAGAAATAAATATTAATTAGTAAATATTATCATAAATAAGATTAAAAATACATAAGTATTGTGATTTTTAAAAGAAAGGTTTTAATTTGAGTTACAGAGATAAATTTTAACCATGAAATATAATTATAAATATTTAAGATTATAATGTTACATTTTAAAATTGTCATAAAACCATTAAAAATATCTTAATTTTGTCAAATAACTGTATGATAAAATTTTATTCCTTTCATCTCTTGTATAATTTTTTTTTCCTATCACTAGATATGTCGATTAAAGGGTTCCGACATGATTACCCAAATTTTGATAAAAGCAACATATATTTAAATAATGTATTAAAAAAATAAAAGATAGAGAGAGAATATTTGATGGAAACCACACAAGTATTGTCTTAATTAGTTTTCGTGCAAACACGAATTTATAATACGTATCATTATCCATAATAAGATGCGCAAAATAAATGACATTATTTTGCATTAGTTTATAGCAAAAAAATTAAAAAAAATATCATCCTTTGCAGACTGTAAATGATGTGATTACTGGAATAATCTTCTACGGGATTCGACTTTACATGCAAGATAATGACTATAGATCAAGAACACTGAAGTCCACTGCTATGGTAACAGTGAACAGAAGGAATGTTAAAGATTACCAGAAAGTGCAGGATATGCTAAAGACTAATGCAAAGGGTGCTTGGGGTAACCAAATTACTTACTTGCATGTGTCAATGCCGAAATTAAAAGACACCCAAATTTCGAATCCACTCCAATTTGTCAAGACAGTACACACTTCAATCAAGAGGAAGAAACATTCTTTTGCTACTGTTTTGATTCACAAGCTTCTACTACTGAAGAATAAGCTCGAAGGCTCTGAGGTGAGTTACAAATTTGCCATTTTATGAGGATAATTTTTCTTCATCACTTGTATGTGCTAATCAATTAAATTATTTTGACACAGTTGAATAAAAATGTAACTGTTTATTAGGTTAAGTAAATAGTTTTTAGAATAAACTAGTTATGTTCTAGGAGTTAAATTTTCTACCATGAGCACTTGTTTCAACAAATTATGCATGCTTTTATTGGTTTATTGTTATTGCTTTTCAATTTTTTAATGATGTTATAGGCAACGGCTGAACATATCCATAGGACACTCAGAAATTCAAGCTTGGTGATGTCAAACATGATTGGACCACTTGAGCAAATGGCTTTTGGAAATCATCCCATAAGAAGCTTCTTCTTTACGCTGTCTAGTCTTCCTCAGGTAACTTTCTTGTTTATTTTCTTCTAATTATTAAATACCAAGTTTGATCGATAATAACAAAAGAATTACTTTAATGAAGCAAAATTTCTCTGCAATTTATATTTCTATATAAAGTAGCATTAAACACTTTTAAATATATTATGGATCTTTTAGCAAAAAAAAATATATATATATATATTATGGATCCTGTTAATCAATATTAAAAATTTAATAAACAAAAAATAATAAAAAATAATGTTAAACATGCATTAAAATCATGACATATGTACATTGGTATACTATCAAATAATTCTTTTTAATTCTTTAATCAGTACTCTTTCAAGACATTAATTATTGGTCAACATTTGTAATTTATTTTTAAGAAATTTAATGTAAATTTCATTAAAAAAATCATTTATCACTCTTTTTTTAGTAGTATTCATTAAATAATAAAAACTATATTAAAAATTTGGGTTAAGAAAGTTTATGTACATTATGTATATACGTTTGCCATTTATTAAATAAAGAAAGAGAAAGAGAGAGAGAGAGAGAAGGGAAACTTAAGGAAGATACAAACATTTTATTTATGCCATTAACTATGGTTCAGGCAATGTGAATCTTAATTTATATTCAAGGACTCAGATTAGAAAACAATAATGATATTTATAACTAAATTATTCTTTTCTCTTTTAAAAAGAACTTGTTTTTCTTCTTTTCTTTCATATTATCACTTGTCATCTCTCTCTCTCTATTCTTTTTTCTACACCTCTAAAGTTAGGCGTACATAGTGCAACTATTCTCTCTCTTGCTTGTTGAAAAAATGTTCTATCTTTATTGTTGCAGAGTCTTTTAATTACAATTATGAGCTATATGGGAACGTTAAGAGTGACAATTGCAACTGAAAAAGGATTCATAGATGAGCAAAAGTTAGTGGGGTACCTAAACCATGCCTTTGAGATATTACGCCATGAAGCAGCCAATAAAGTGTAGACACTTTGGTAACAATATTTGGAAGAGGAATCACATATATGCATTTGGTATTATGGATTCTCTCTTTTAGTCATAAGAAACCTTTCTACCTTTAAACTATAAAATAAAATAAAATATTGATTATGACATAATTGTTTCCCAGGAAATTGTGCTTACGATAATACGATGGAAGTGATTTGATCTTTCTGGACAATGCTCCTTCCTACATTGGATATAATTTGGTTCTCCATCTTCTTAGCCAACTCTATGTAGCTAGGCTCTTTATTTTATGTTTTTCTTTTTCTTTTTCCCTTTTAATTGTCTGTCACATTTCTATTATGTTCTTATTAATTATTTGTTGAAACATTGTAAGAGGCTTAATTATAACAGTTAAGAATTATGAAAATTAAATGTGAGTAATTGAAATTAAACAGAACAAAATTACACAAAAATTAAAGTGTGAGAATTAAAAGTACAACTAAGATAATAATTTTTCCTTTTTAAAGTTTGCAATGGCATGCTTATCGGATATTTTAAATAATAAACATTAAAAATATTGTATGCAGAAAACACAATTGTTCCCCGTTTAATTAATAGAAAATATGATGATTCAAATGATAACTCTGTTAGCCATTCAATCATATTCGTCAACGTAGTTTTTAATCCAATGCCTCAATTCTGGAATGTCTTTTATTTTATTACTGATTGCTCGAGGTAAATTATATAATTAATGAATTATTAAATAAAATTACTTTGTCCAATAAAATAAGGTTATGTTTGGTTGAAAGAAATGTTTTTGATTCTTCTAAAATTAGACTAGCAAATAAATTAAAGAAGACACTAATTTATTTAATATTATATGATAAACTATATGAATAAGAAAAACTATATAATATATTTCACAAGATAAAAAGCGATGGTAATAGTAGCTAAATTGATAAATGAAGATATAAGTGAAAATTATTATTATTATTATTATAAAATATATCAATTTAAATATAATCTAACAAGTAGTATAATAAAGAATGTAAATTAAAGTAAGTAAAGAGTGATGGTGGAATAGAGGAACAACATGTTTTAATGGCTGAAAGGTTTTTATTTTTGCCAAAACTGAAAGGCAAGTGAAAATGTCCTCTATGGGCCTTGTTTGTACCTTAAACCTTTTGGTCAAGTGATCAAACAACATGTGAGGTTCAACATGAACTCTATCAAGTCCAGTTCACTTCACGACCTAAACAAAAGAACCTAAATTTACATAATCTTAAGAATAAAAAACGTAATTAATTAAAAAAATCACACAAGCCAAACAAATAATCTCAGCTAAAAAAGTTATGATTCTGAAGTCTGATGTGTTACTTAATGCAACTGAAAATATAAAAAAATATATATTTTTTAAATATTTAGCCCATGCAAAGAGGCAACGAATTCACCAACTAACCATAGCAAAGTCACAAACTCGAAGCATATCTCATTCACAAATCAAAGCACGCAATTGTTACTTGTTGTTCATTGCATTGCATCATATTGTGAATTCGATCCTCTTCTTCATGAACTTCAAAGCCCTTCTTTTTCTCCTCCTTCTGTGCGCAAATTCCTATTTTGCCCTCGCCGGAAAGCGCAAGGTTCACATCACCGACGACTTAGACGACGTCTACGACGACGAGGAGGACGATGCGTGGAAGGATTGGGGCAAGAAACCCACTCCCTCCTTCCCTCCTTCAGATTTCTCCAAGATGGATCCCTCTCAGATCCAAGATGAGATGATGAAGCACCACACCGGACCCGCCATCGGGTTCGTCAAGCTCCGATTAGGGGTTCCCCGGACTCCGGTGAGAAGATTTGTGTTCAAAGTTGTCATTTTTGTTAATGGGTTTTGGTGGGAAAGTTAGCTAGTGCCCATTTCTTATTATGGTTATTAGTTTTTTAATTTGAGTTAAATTTGTGATTTTTAGCTCGTTTTGCATAATGGGTTTGATTTTAGGTTATGGTTTTTGTTGATGGGTGATGAGAAAGTTAGCGTGTGCCCATTTGTTATTATGGTTTTTAGTTTTTTAATTTGAGTTAAATTTGTGATTTTAGCTCGTTCTGCATCATGGTTTTGACTATTTGAGTTGAAGTTGATTTTTCTTACATAGTTACACCCATTTCGATTTTTGAAGCTCGAGTTTTAATTGAAGCTGTAGTTTTTGGTTGCGATGAATATGATTAATAGGTTTTACTGGATTGGGGAGTGTGAAATCGCTTTTTTACATACCCTTTTATTTTTTTCTGTTTTATTTTGAATATGAGTTCGAACTTGTGGTTTTTTGCTTTTGCTTGGTGGATTTTGGATTGGCACCGTGGGGTTTGGGGTTTGCTTCAATTGTTTTGCGATCTTGAAGTGAATAGAGTGAGGGTAATGGTTTGTTGAATTCTTAGCGATTGAGTTCACTATTGATGTTCTATTGTTCTATTATTTGTTTTCTGATGTAGAGAGGTGTACCTTGACCATTTTCCATGTCTTATTTTAGGACTCGGTTGCTGAAATTGCCATGAAATGGACACAAGTTCTGAGAACTGGAGCAGTTGGAGTAAGGTTTATGGCTGTTGATCTGAATACGATCATGTTCAACTTGGAAAGCATCAAAGACTTGGAGGAGGTAATGCTTCCGTTCCTTTTCTCCTTTTTGAATATGAAAAATGTAAAATAAAAGAACTGGTTTGGCCTAATGATTTTGACAACCGACAATCTGCTATTATATTGTTCACCTATCTCTCCTGTTTAAAGTAAATGATATTGAATTTGAATCGATGAACTTTGCATTTTGTTTCTCCCTTGTCTATTGAAAAACTAGCTGTAGATTCATCCTCGAGGAACTAATAAATTTATCATGTCCTTAGTCTATGATGCTTTCTATTGATACTGTCTCATACTCATATCACATGTCATCAGTTGAAGGAATTTGTCTTGGACCAATCAGAGACATATGAAATTAAAATGGGGGATCAATTTTTTCGAAGACCAGGAGATCCACCTCTAGATGAAGTTATTCAGAGGCTCAATAGTGAGAAAGACAAAGCAGATAATGTTGATCCAGAGGAAATTGATGAAAATTTGAAGACAGAGTTGTAATTAAACTGTATAGATACAATTTTCTAGAAGTTGAGATAAAGCAATGTGTGCCACTTCTTTTCGAAGATTTGCTTCAAGTTTTGTTAATTTTGTAGTCGTCACTCGCAACTTTTTCTTCCTTCTCTTTCAATCAAGATGATAAAACTGCTTTTAAATGCTAGTGAAGTAGTAATCACCTTTACTGCATTTAGGAAGACTACGAGAACACTTCTCAATGGGAGAAATTTTGAATAGAAAGACATTGAAATTCTTAAGACTTCACTTGATGGGAGCTTCAAGCACTAGGCTGCCATTTATGACCAAACTAACATTACCAATAGTGAATGCTTTGTAACCAATCAACCTTCATATGGCCACAATTTTCTGTTGCTTTTCCATTGATGGTGGTTGATCGATGTCGTATTCAGTAAAGTTAAAACCAATTTAAATACATTAACTAGGAGATAAACTTAGGTTGTTTTTCCGAGAACCTCGCTTATAATTGTCAAAAATGAAAGACAAAATTAGAAGTTTTGAATGCAATATCGTAATCAATAAATTAAAACACAAAGAATTTAATAAATCAAAAGCGATTAACTTATGATTTACGATTTTTACGTTGTAAAACAAATTTGATTTTGAATGAATTTCTATCAAATTTTTGAATTTAAATTAAAGAACACGAATCTTTAATTTGAATTCCTTGAACGTTTGTTAAATATATATCTTTGATTGATTTGATATAGTTTTTCTCAATCTAATTTTGAAAGTCTAAATTATAAGAATAAATGTTTCAAAATTACACAAGTAATAAATTTGAAATGTGTAACTTATCTGAAAATATATTAACGTGATCCAAGATTGAATTAAAGGTATTTATAATAGAAATAAGAATGTAAGAAGTAAGGTTTCAAATCGGATTGAAGTAAAAAATGTTACCTCATCACTTGGCAAGATCGAATTTGTAGTTCAGTTTATAAAATTATTTTTCTATCACAATTGTAAATACAAACACAGGTCTATGGGTAATTATTATGAAAAGCTAAAACAAATTTGTAAGAAGGAAGAGAATAAACAAAAAAAAAAAATCAAATTAACTCCAAATCAAAAAATGACAAAAACATGAAAAGGAAGAATGTCAAAAAAATGTGATTCTTCTAACTTCTCTCTCTTTTATGGAAATTAATTAACCCTAAACAAAACTTAAGCTAATAAGTTCAGAAAGTAAAATGGATCACAAAGTCTAATTAAATGCAAATACTAATTGCACACTACTAATAGACACTTAATTCTTCTAATAATATAAGGGGGCCAATTTCAAATGTCTTTAACTTTCATCTCAAAATTCTAAATCTAACCAATAATGTGTTAAATAAAAGCTGTTTTGAATTAATTTCTCAACGCAATCACAATCACTAAAAAAATCTACCAACATCAAAAATTATGACGAAAATAATAATTAAAAGTCAAAAGTACTAAAATGTAAGAAATATGTAGGATTACTAATTAAGATCCAAACAAATAAAACTAGTTTAAAATAGTGAAGTAATCATAGAAATAATATAAAAAGTAGTACTAAAGATAATAAGGTATTAATATAATATGATTCATCAGTAGTTTTTAAATAAAAAGAGTCATTAATAATGTTAAAGAACACAAGTTGTCCTTGATTTGCTTTTCAAATAAAGTAATTCCTTCTAACATAAAAATGTATGAAAAATAAACTCATCATGTAATTTACATAAGATTTTATTCACATATTTGAGTTTATTCCTCTCTTTGAAATATTTCAGTAGTATAGCAGTACCAAATCCCTATTTTTCGGACAAGATCTGAGCCATAATTTCTTTCTCAAACTAGTTCTATGAATCATCCAATAGTCCATGTTCACATTAATGATGCCACAATTTAGGTATTTAGAAAAAAATCTACATAACAGGTTTCTAGTGACAACTTTTCATGTTGCTTGTGAGGAAATAAAAATAAGAGCTGCAGGGTTTACATCTAATGGTAGTTTTGTAGTGCTCTAAATGTGACTTGCTACCAAAACTACCTTACCATGGACTATAGGGACACCTACAACAAATAATGTTTTGAGATAGACACTGCCATGAATTTCTCTTATCTTTACTTCCAATTCTCATGTACGACATAAATAAATGTTGTTAATAAGAAAGAAATCAATGTAGTCCATGGTAAGTTAAGGTAGTTATTGACCAAAAAAACGAAAACAAAAGAAAGAAATTAAAAAAAAAAAACCTTGTGATTGTTGCAATTACAATAGTAATATATGAATGAGATGGAAGAAAAGATTTAATTCAACGAAGACGGTACAATTTCAGTTTGGTACTGAAAGTCAAAGAGTTCAAGAACTTAAAAGAAACTGAAAGAAACAAATAAAAAAGAGTTTAGAGGCCGCAATGAGATAGAGGGAAGAATTATACCTAGAAACAAATTCCATTTATCTAACTCGGGCTCTTTTGGTAAAGCATCAGCAAAGCGGCTCTGAAGCCAGAGAAGGTATACGACAGTGTGTGATGCAAAGGGATAGAGGCATGGTTAACAAACAGTGCGTGTTTGGTTTGAGAAACGTTTTTACCGTTTGTACAAATCTTTGAAAATAGAAAACTAAATGAAAAAATGTGACAAGCCTTTGAACATGTCATTTGATATGAACCAAGTGAGAACATGAATTTTGAAGTGTCTACATGTGATTTAGTTTTCTCTTGATCCCCTATACTCAATTTATTAGTTTATGAATCGATTGTTATTCAACTATGTGTTACAATTACATTGGGTCATTTGCATGTAATTTCAAAGTTGATTTACATAACTAAGGATAATTATTAGATGTTTGAATTACTGGAAATTAAAATCATTAGTTTAAAGGATGATTTGTTGGCATTTGAACAAATTTTGACTTTTGGATTAACATTTGGAGTATTTTTTCTCACGAGTTATATACTGTAGTCTTTTAAATACACCAACAGCATGCATTTCGTGATCTGCCAAAAAATTGTCAGCACTACACTAGAACAAATTTATGGCTAAGAAAACTCCACCGGACAAAGGAAAAAGCCTTACTTCTGTAGTTTAAATACGTTTGTTTAGCTTTTTTCATATAAAAAATACTTTTTTTTCTATAAAATTACTTTTTAAAAATTTGTGTGTATTTGTTCAAGCTTTTGGGGGAAAAAAATCAAAATTCAAAACAAATAAGTTTTCTGATTATTTAAAAAACAAATTGTTTTAAATAACATCACAAAAATGCTAAAATTGCAACTAACTTTTAAAATAAAAAGTTCTTTTTATAATTGTAACAAAACATAAAACAAGTTCTACTTTTTTTCATAAAATATCTAAAAATTAACATTTTTGTTTTTCAAAAAAGCTTAAACTAATAGACTCGTATTACATCCATGAATCATTGCCAAGTGTAACTTGTGGTTCCCCAGAATTTCAGCAGCTTATGACAGAATGAGAGGAAGAATAGACTACTTGGTTCTACAGATAGCTTACTTATCAGGTGTAATCGTGTTGCTGCTAAAGAAACCTTACTTGTGACTATGAACATTTGTAAAGAATTTGTCTTAACACTTACCAAGAATTACAGCAATTCTCACTTCTTCTAAGAGGGTTGCAAATTACTGCAGTTTAACAATGTGTAAAGGAGGAAATTCTAGGTAGAAAGATCATGTTCACTAGAAATTTGTTATTGTTTATAAAATAGTTCGAAAAAAATAAATATCTAGTTCAATGATTGACAACAATCCAATAAAGCCTCCTATTTCAACTTCTTGCTGAAGTCAGAGAGCCCGAGAACATGAATTCTGGGGATAGCTGCAGCTTCCTCTCTTTCTTTCTGGGTGTTGTAACCCCAATTCCCTGGTCCAAACAATGATCTTTATCCAGTACACTCAACAATTGAAGGAAAATACAAAAGAATGCAAGAATACCCAACATGGGAATTGAAACAAAATGAGGGGGTTGCAGAAATTATAAACAGGCAGAGATAACTACCAAGATACAAATTCCATCGGTCTAACTCGGGCTCTTTGATGACATTTTTTAAGGTAGCAAGCCGATCCTCAACAAAGCTGGTTAAGGTTAAAGTTAACTGGACTTAGTTTCTTGTGATCTTTAATACATGCAAGGACAGTGGTCTATCCATAAAAACAGTCATAACCAAAATGACATAAATTATAGCTAATAGCACAATATCTTACTGTAGTGTCAGCCCTTGGTGCTCTGGTTTCTTTTGAAGCTGCTTCAGAACTTCTACCTTAGGACTGTAAGTAAAATTAAAGATAGTCCCGGAAAAATAAATTTATCATCAAAATAAAGCAATAAATCGAGAAGAGACAGTGATATAAACATAAATTCAATTTTTCTATCACATGCACAGGTGCATTAGTTAAGGAAACAAAAATAGAAAGTTTTAATCAGAAAAGGAAGTATTTATTATGTTGGGAGACACAAAAAGCATTTAGTACTTTTTTTTAAGTAATAGAAAGCATTCCCTTAACTTTGCATTTGATATATATAATAGAAAAATCGATATAAATATTTCTCAGCATTATTTTGGTAAAATATATCAAATACTGACAAGTTCTCTAACCAAAAAATAAAGAAACAAAACTAACCCAGTTCCAAGGCCATATATTCTTTCAGGTGGTATGGTCACTCCAGCAAGCTCTCTAAGTAAAGCATCAGCAAAACGGCTCTAAAATAAGAGAAACAAGGAGATGGGGGAGTAGAAAACACAAAGGGAAAAGAGCATGATGAGAAATTCATAAAAGTGCACTGTCATGGTATTGGGACAATTAACCAATTATCTTCGTCGTTTTCCTTAATACTAAAAGTAAAGTTATCCATTTTTAGGATTATTGTCCCCTTGCCAGGACAACAAGCAAAAATTACCTGTTTTGTGGTGACAATGTACACTCTTGAGCTTGCAAATTTTAATGCATCAGAGACACCAGGATATAATCTACAAAGCATTGCCAATTAATAACAGGAAATCTCATTCATTGCATGTGTAAAAAATAAAAGAAAAATATTAATTCATAAAATGATTTATAAGATGCAAACATTCACTCTACAGGAATACTTCAAGATCACAATATGCTTAATGTAAAAACATTATCTACCCTGAAGCATAACTAGAATACCAAGTCTAACATAAACTGATTACTTCTGGAATACTATATGTAAAGGGACATCCATGACCAGAAGGAAAAATTGTCATTTAAAACCCGCACACATAATGTCCTACTCCCCTAAATCCCCAACCTTCTGTCAAGAACCTCACACTCTCGGATCAGTCAGATAGTCAACTAGGGATAACAAACAATTTTTGTATATTGAATGTTCATGTCTTCATGCTTAAGCCATCTCTGCCTAATGCTTTAGATTTCCCATTATGCATCTGTAATAATAAGTATAAAAAACTAGTCCCCCGTCAGCAGGTTTGATTGGACTACCTGTTTGCACCAATCCAAGCAGCAAAATCCTGCTCCAACCATTCATCTCTGACCTTTCCAAAAAGATCTATCAGACCATCCCTATTCTCGCCCCATTCTTCCATAATAATAGGCTTCAACTTGGACCAATTCTCCAATATACCCTCAACTGTGAGCCCCTCTGCAACCTTGAACAAGAATTATGACATTAGTCAACAGGTCTGGAGTCCATTCTAGTTGTTTGAAAGCAGATGCAGTCATGCAGATTCATGGCCACTGGCATCATCATAAACTATGAACCTAGTTACAGTGACATGGTTTTCAATTGCTAATAATGAATGATAAAAATCAGAGCCATAGGCATTTAACTCACCGAAGACTTCCTGATGGAAGGTATTCTGGTCTCAAGCAACAATCTCACAAGTAAAACGTTTTCATATCCAGTTTCCACCACTGGTCGCACCTGAGATGAACAACTACGGAAGTTAATCTTTAAGATGAAAACAAGTCCAACATATTTCCATATGGCAATAGTCTAGGAATTGAAAACGCTCAAAATTACATAAAATTCCATGACATAAAATTGTTTAAAGATCTGACATGGAAATCTACAATTGAGGAAATCAAGCAAATATAATATATTTCAAGACGGGACAGCTAAATCTAAGAAACTATAGTCAATAAGAAAAGTTATGCAAAAAGTTTTTCCCTTTCATAGTATGAGGAAATAAAAAGATCCTACTTTACATCTACATTCAGTCACCAAAAGTACATTGGATTATTGGTCTTTTGATCAAGATTTTCCTTTTCATATTTGCAGACTGTACGATATATTTCCCGTTTCAAATTGCCTTATCACATAACTAGAAGTTGACAAAAATTTGACACTTCATTCAACCCAAAATTCATATCAAATGCCTCCTAAAACACATTAACAAATTATAAAGTCAAACTAAATGAAAATTCAAGCTTAATTCTTGCTCCCTTCATACCATGCTTCCACTAATTATTATTTATTATAAAAAAACTACCAACACAGGTAAACCAAAGTAAATTAGTATAAAATCCAAACAAAAAAAGCTAAGTCAAATAAGTCATAAATTATTTTACTGTATGCATCTGATCAACAATCCAATCTTCTGTGGCTGAATCCACGCCATCAAACAAACCAGGCCATCTCACTTTAGCAGCCTGCAAATTCTCAAACAAATAAAATCATGAACTTAATTTAGTACACTTAGGAATTCCCAGAATAAAAAAATTGAAATAAAAAAGAAAAAAAATATAAATTTAAAACACTTAAATTAAAATAGAAAAAGCCCAAATTTTGGTTTGGATGGAAATGGTCAAAGATTGTGGCTTTTTCCTTCTTTTTTTTTCTGGGAAAGGGAAATGGAATGGAATGAAAAAAGGAACCTTGAGAGCAGAGAGAGAGCTTTCTCCGCAGCTATCACAGATGATTCCATCGAAGTCCAACGCGTAAAGCTCTCCCATTTCACTCTCTTCCTCTTTCGGTTTCGCTGCCAATGTTATCAAAGATTACGTGTTTTTCAGTGCCATCCAAACAGCCCCTTGCGCCTCCTTTGGGGGAAGTCGAAACACGTGTCATGCAGATAGGGCATGGTTCGGTTCATTTTACTTTTTACTTTCACGAATGAAAAAAAAAGCCATTTTTGTGTCAACTTATAAAACAGTAATTTACTTTTAGAGATTATTAAAATTAAAGTTTTTAGGCTTTATATTATTTAAAAGCCATTTTTTAATTTTTATAAAAATTATTTAAAATAATTTAAAAAAATATATAAAATCAAAGTATTAGAGAGTTATTTTTTTTATATTTGTTAATATAAATAATGTTAAAAAGAAAGTAAAGTGATTAAACATAGCAATTTATTCTTGTTAACGTGAAAGTCACAATTTAAGTAGCGTGGGATAAATTAAAATGAAATTAATTTTTGATGTAAACTAAATATATCATCTTATTTATTTTTTTAAAAAATATCTTTTTATACTGATATAACTCTAAAAATTTTTATATTTAATCTAAATTTTTTATTTAATTTAAATTTAATAAATTATAATTTATTAAATTTAAATTAAATAAAAAGTTCAGTTTTTATATTTATAACAGAAGAAGATTATGTCTTTTATTTTTAACTAAAATCATGTATTTGCTTTAGTTTGATTGCATTAAGTTTATTGCTAATGAAAATTAATTTAATTTAATTCAATCAAATTTAATATACATAAAAATGTCACATCTCAGCAATAAATAACTACCGTTTAATCTTATGATTATTGAATGCATGCAAGATAAGAATGAATGAGAGTGTGTCCTGCCTTTGACCTGCAGTAACTTTAATTATCTTTTCTTTGAAAATAAATTCTCAAAATGTATTTTTGAAGTTTAATAAATTGTACTATGTGAATATAAAAATAAAATAAAATACCATGAATATATGAATAAATGGCATATGAACGAAGAGTATATATATATATATAAAGGACGTGATTCTACGCAACACCGATATTCTATTTTATTAGACTATACAGTAAGATCGTCGTCACTGTCTGCTCATTAAATTGTAATTTATCAGAGCAAAGTATGCATTGATAAGAGTTGGGTCTAATGATGGATATTAGTTTTTAATAAAGTGGCAAAACTCTTTATATGTTTTATTTAGAAGATAAGTGAAATAAAAAAAATTAAATAAAAAGAGTAAAACTGATTTATTATTTGAATAATTTGAAATAAAAATAAAAAATATACAATTTTCACTTATTTTGATTAGTAGGAAAAAAGTGCAAAAATAAATTATATAAAAAATTTATAATAATTAAAAATTAATTTAAAAAACAATATAAAACTATTCATTATTTAAAAGATAATGATTTTTAGAATATTTTAAAAAATATGCATCTCTCTTTTTAATTTCTCGTGTATTTTTATCTATCTAAATAATATAGAATAATAGTTTTTTTAAATTTTTTTTGGTCCTATTTGATTACTTTCACTCAAGCACACTGTTAGTGTACAACTATATTTAAGATAAGATTGTGATTTATAGATATGAAAAAAATAAAAGTAGATAAGGAATAGCAAAAGGATTGATTCTTGCACCCTTTCTTCAATCATTGTCACAGCCATTGGATTGAGCTAAGATTCTTTCTAATGAAAGTCAAGTCATTCATGCGTGAAAGTGGAAAAGAACTGTGAGGCCGAATTCAATTAGAGAGAAAAGCACCTGTGGCCCATTCCTACTTTAATTATTCACTAATAACTTTCATTAATAATGTCATAAATGAGTTAATTAAACACCAAAATTAAGTTTTATCCCGTTACATCACCGAAAGTAACATTATTCAACTTATTAAAATCAAATTTTCAATGTTATGTATCATAAAAATATTTTAATATTTTTTCTAAATCTCTTCTAGATTTCTTTCTATTCCTTCTCATTAAATTAAAATTAAGTTTCTAGATTTATTAAGCATTAACTTATTTGGTTGATTTGTGATACTGTCTCAATTGACTCATTTTGAATAAGGTCTCCATGATCTAAAATGAACTCAAATGTTCAGTTTTAAGGTATATTTTATGTAACATTGAGTAAAAAGATAATTGTGCTAGCATGATATCTAAAGTTATTTTTTAAAACAGTAATGCCAACAACATACTCTTTGTAACTCTCTTACTATTATTAGTTAAAATTTATTAAATATTATAAAAAAATTACATGAGTTTTATTTTTTTATTTTTAAACTAATATTTTTTTCTCATACTCTTTTATTTTTTAATAAATTTTAATAAATAATAGAATGTGTTAAAGAGTGTTATTAACATCTTTCTTCTTCTTCTTCTTCTATAAAACACATATTATAACTGTAACAATTATGCTTAATCAATGGACATACATAATATGGTTGCAAGCATACCATGGTAATTATCGAGATACCATATATTTCTTATAAATGAAGCTAGTAAAATAGTATGCGACCTGAATTTGTTGAATAAAATTAAAATTTAAACTTTATATTTTAAGTCTAAATTAAATTCAAAATTTTTAACTTAATTCGTTTAAAATTTAAATATAGATTAAGTCAATAAAAACTTCCACTTAAAATTTATCTCTTTTAAATATATTTTTATAAGTTCATATTAGATTTAAACATTTTCAACCCAATCTATTATAATCTACTGCCTTTGACTTGAATAAGTTGAATAGCTCATTTTATTAGTTCTATTTTTTTTCTAAGTTAACAAAGATGGATCCTTTTATATAATTAAAATAAACATAACCCATAGACAAAGAGAAGTTAAACCTTTTTCAGTAAGTAACTTGTACCATAATAAAAAATAAAAATAAAAAATCAATCAAAATTTCTTTCTAGCTTGAATGTCAGAGTTTCTTGCCACCCTTAAAGGCACAATGAAACTTTATTCACTAACAATAGAAAGCTTAATTATGTTACTGTCACATGTGGTATCAACCTTTGTCTAAAAAAACCACAAATTAGAAAACTAAGAACTATTTTATTTTAAAAAAGTTTCCTGATACACGCATATAAAGTGTGGAAACGCCAAAATAATCGAATTAATAGTTCTTTTTTTTAATAATAATATTATAAAAAAAAAAGGCAATTATCACTTATGATGTTTTTTTGTTCAAAAGATGCTTTTGCATATTCAAGGTTTTACTAAAATGTTTTGTTAGGCCACTGGGTCAACATTTTGCGGCTAATTCAATTGACTAACAGGTTTAAGCTATGCGACTGTTTCATGGAACTTTTTTATTTTCTAATTTTGAAAAATCAATGATAGAAAAAAAATTTCTTTTAGAATATAAAAATTCGATTATAATATTTGAAAATCATGAAATTCAATTTCAGTTTTGAGAAGTTACAGTGAAAGTGGCTTACATTTTCAGGGATAATAAGTTGCCCGCTAAATTTTATGCATGTATTAAAGTGGATTCTTCAAACATTGTTTCGTTTTAAAAATAATAGTCGAAGTTTTTTTTTTTACCTATACATATGATTAGTCCAATCAAATCAATTACCCTTTAAACATTTATACAAATTTTGTTCCCTCTAATTATAATGAAAAGACCATTTTAGCATCAGATTCAAGGTGAGAAAAACATAAACTGAGAAAGTAGAATTAACTCTCCAAGATTGGGCATTAGCTAGCTCTAAGAATTGTGTTCACTGAAAATGATTCGTACGGAATCAATGTATCATCAAATCTTCATTGTCTATTTAAAAAGAACCAAATCTTACAAAGTGTCATTTTGTTTGTTCAAATGGTCAAAAGTTCATAGAATATTATAATTTTATGATTTTCATTAAGTGACCTTATGAATCCTTGTAATTAGAGCACTAAATAGCAAGCTTCTCCACCGTTAATTTAATTTCCAAACCCTAATAAGAATTACATTTGAGAAGGTTCATGATTTGAAATTTACGGCACTTGAATGTTTAGTAAACGTTGAGCATTTTATATTGATGAACAGGTACAGCAGTACTAGTATAATGCTGAATTTTCTGAATTTGAATACACACGAACATCACTGGTACTAACCAATAACAATAGTGTAATTATCCTGCTTTATGAGTTTAGTTATTGTAAACTTCAATTCATAATAAGTTATCACACGAACATGAATTCATAATACTGATTAAATAATCAAAATTATAATTTTTTAATTAATTTTTATGTTAGAACTTAAATTTATAAAAATAAATATATTATTAATAACATTTTCAGACTTTTTTTTATTTTGACTTCTTAACTAATATTCTAAAAATATTAGTTAACATTGGCCATATTTAGTTAGAGTTTTGCAAACTAATAATTAATATCACATTAATTACATGATCGATCAAACAAGTGCGTATATATATAAAGTGTTAAATTTAACTATTTACTTTATTCAATAATTTTTTTATAAAATATAATATTGATTAAATTTACATAACTTTGACATTTGTAAGTATTTATTAAAATAATAAATTCCCTACTAATTATATTTTTAATGAAATTTTATAAAATTAGTCTCTTTAATAAGAATATTTAAATTAATAGTTTGTATTATATGAAAAATTATTCAATGTTGAAATTTGACGTCAATAAATTTCAACTTTTTGCAACCAAAAAAAACTCTAATATAACAATGATTTATAAAATAAATTAATAGAAAATACAAATTCCAATTAAATTGAATAGATCACAAAAATTGATTGGTCGATGGTCAAAACACAGTTTAGTAATCCGTCCTTCTCTCTTTAGATCTTTTACAATTATTTTCATTTTTTTCTCCAAACCATATTAAATTTATTCATTAATTTATTTGCTAGTATTAATAAATAATTATTAACATTTTTTAAAGTATTTTTACATGATTAACATAAATAAAAAACTATTGTATTCATATTTGAAGTAAATAAAAACACAATTGCATTAACTATTAACAATTAATTTCCTTCAGTTCATGCCATGTGTTATTGTACTGAAAAAACTTACAATTCAGGGTTACTTTCATGTTTTTTTTAACCTCACAAAAATGACAAATGAAATGTATCAGTAAAAATAATAAAATTAACACTTAAAAAAGAGTGGCAAAAAAATGAAAAACTAAACTCCTTGTTTACTGTTGTAGTAATTACTTACAGTGATAGTGTGATGTTACAAGTTTTTTGGTTCAGAAACAAAGGGTGCTAACAATCAAATAACTTATTAAATAAAAGCGTTTATTTATTTTGTATTTATATGTGTAGAATGTGAAATAATTAAATATATGTTATTAAAAATTTAAATTATTTAAAATAAATATAAAATATTTTATGGTTTTGGTATATTAAATACACAATAAATATTTTTATTGTGTATTGATAAAAAAAGACTTTAATAACTAAAGCTTAATTTTATTCACACAAAAAATAAATTTACCTTTTTAATCTTTGTACTTCACAATTAATTGTTTTATATTCATAAAATACATATCCCCTTGTTTGTTACTTATTTGCTTCTGATAATTTCGTCTTTATTTTATTTAAAAATAAAAAATATTTATATAAAAATAGACATTACTATTTAAAAGAAAAAAGTGCACGAAAAGGTAATTTTAGAGAAAAAAAAAAGAATGCTGGTTTTTAAAAAAGTCTTGTTAACTGGTATCTAAAAACACTAATTAAAAATAATAATTTTTTCTAAAAATGTATTAAAAATATCTAAAAATTAATATATATTTTTTGTATTTAATAAAACATATTTTTTAATTCTTTAAATAGTACTGTTGAGATAATGAATAATAGTTTTATATAAAAAGAAAACTATTTGTTTTATGTATTTTAGTGCTGGAAGTGGTGCTATAGGTTGGTTCAGAAAGAGAGGGCGCGACAGTTACTATTAGATCCCATGTCTCTGACACCACGCAAAGGGCAATAACCGGTAACCTTCCACTTTCAGCACCTGTCGCTTAACCTGCTGTAGCCGGTAACATACACGATAAACAAGTCATCGATATAAAATCCAAACCCCTCTCATTTTCTGAAGCAACTTCACGGTTTCAACCTCATCATAATCGCACTCCTTCGCAGATCGTGTCGCGTTTAGCTTTCGTGAGTTTTTCTTTTTAATTTTCTTAATTTATGCTTATATTAATTTTGAGAGAAGAATTCATGGATGATTCTAGAACCTGGGTTGTCTTATGATGGTGCAACGGTGCGGTTTTTTTTTTTTTGGTTTCTGTTTTTGTGATTTGTGCCGTGTTTGGATCTATATGTTGGGTGTAATTTGAATTTCGCTTGGGTGTTTCTGTTTGTGTGTGTGATTAACTGTGCTTGTTTTGTTGTTTGAGCTTGTGGCTTTTATTGGATGATCAGTTTTTTTTATGTAAGGAGAGGAAATTAAATATTGAGTTTACGATCAGGTGTTATTTGGTGATTTCATTTCATGGTGTTTTTGAATCGAGGGAATGGTAATTTTAGAGTTAGCTTTAAAAAGGTGAATGAAAATGTTTGCAAGAAATTTGGGTGGATTTCTTGTTTTTAAGGAATAGCAGATATTTCATGAAGCATTTTTTTTTATTGCAAATTCACCTTTTTTTAACCAATGAAGTTGACTTATATTTTGGTACTGATGTGTTTGTTGGTTTAGAAATTGAGCAATGCTACCCCATACCTATTTTCACCAAAAAGGATAACACACACATTTTTCTGCACTGGTCATTATCAAGCCTCTTTTCTGCACATGGTCGCAAGTTTTTGGGTCTACTTTTTGTTTTTTTCAAATAGTTGTTTTCTTATAAATTAGTGGTTCTATTTTATGGATTAAATCAACTCCCCTCATCCCCGTATATATTATGCTTTTTATATATGTATTGTTTGTTTCTATTCCTGTTTAAGTTCGCTCTTAAGTAGAATTGGGTTCTGATATCACTTTTCTGATGAAGAAAAAAAGATGGCAAACAATGAGGATGGGAGCGAAAAGACTTCTCGTGGGAATGAATGGGAGGTTGTATCTCTCACGGCATCAACATATGCAGCTGCTCCTGGTCCTGATGAAGTTGAGTCGAAGGATGATGGGAAAGAAGATGTATATGCACAGGATGAAGCAGAAACATCACGTGCTTTGTTCATGTCCGATCACTTTGTCTTTCCACCCAGTCAGCATGAAAACTTGCCCTTAGAACCTGACTATAGTGAAATTCATGATGAATCTGGCAACAAAGATGTTGCCTCTGAGGAGACTCATGAAGAAGTGACCGTACCTAGTGGAAAGGATGAAGAAAACATGACATTAGCAGGATTAGAGGAGTTTGACGGCATGCAATATTTTGATGAGAAAATCAACAGGTTATCTGTTCAAGGTAAACAGTTTGAGGAAGGTACAACTCTACCAGGTTTTGGTTTAACTGAGAAAGGGGAAAGTATGTATGATCCCACAAAGTACACTTCTTTCCATGGTGAAACAACTATTGGTGGTGTAACAGCATACGATGAAAGTATAGTTGATCCTGAAACAACTGAATTGGCAGAGCAAGGGTCAAATATATCTCCTGATTTATCACTGTCAAAGAACTCTTCCAAAGATGACAAATACAGCCCTTCAGATCTTCCATGTGGAGCTTGGTGGAAACGAAGAGCTGCCTCCTTGTATGCTCATGCAAAAGAGGCAAATGCATTCTGGTCTGTTTTCATTGCAGCTACTGTGATGGGCCTTGTAATGCTTGGCCAACGCTGGCAGCAGGAAAGAGCTTTACAACTAAAGTGGCAAATCAGTCTAAATGATGAGGTATATCCATTATCATCAGTTATTCCATGTTTTCGTATGTTAGTTTATCTTTGGTCAGAAAATATCCGATATTCAGTTCTGTAGTCTCTTTAGTGATTGATTCTAATCATGTACAATGTACTCAGGTATAATTAGTTTGTCATTATGTAACACTAATTTGTCATGACAAGACACTTTGGACGATTAATCTGATGGTGGTGTTACACTGAATCTGATGAATGGTTATGAAGATTGTTCAATGTCTTTGCATCTTTATGGGTAGAAACTGTGGCTTAAAACCAAATGACCTTGTGTACTGATTTTTATACAGAACGAACTTAATTCCACTTTAAAATTATTTATTTTCTTATTTGAAACATTTGCAGTATTTGAAATCTGTAAAACTAAATATTTGAACTTCCCTACCCTGTAGAGAAGCATAAATCTCATTGCAAATTAAAATGTATTTTGTGTGTAAACTTGATGCCATACTACAAAAGTAGAAAGATGGACATGAATTATATTTTTGTGTAGTGCTTTGAGTTCCTTGTTTGAGTTCTCTCATACTTCAAAAAAGATTCTAACATTCCAATCACAACCTTTCCACAGGCAAGGAATAAGGTGCTTGCTCCCATATTTCGACTCAAAGATGTGATTGTTGGGGGCCACCGTCGTGGCTCCTTGATCAGGGGAAGCACCTCTGGTGAGAGTTAAGGTAAAGGTGGCTCAATGCATGTGGCTCCTATCCTTGTGGTAAAAGCTAAGATGATGACGAAAAAAGTATGTCAGAGGGAGGTTGAGAATGAAAAATGCTACAGTAGTGAAGTGCAGATTTGGTAGTAGGATTGGTGACCTTTCCCAATTATGAATGCCCGGTTGTTTAAACATTTTATATCGTGAATTTTCTCCTTCTTGGCATTTATTTGCACTGTATAGCTCTTGATGTTATTCAACTGAGTAAGTTATGTATTCTGATCATGTGGAATTGGCATTTTAGACTCCAAACACGAGATGTAAATAAAGTGATAGCTTTAATGGTGGGTGTTTTTCCTCTGGACCCTAGCAGTGGGTGCAGAGTCTTGCTAATGGGAATGAAATAGGTGAATCCAATCATATCTGCCTTTTATTTACTCGCATTGAATTTTTTAAGACTTTGTTTGGAAGTTAGTTTTTAGAAAGAAGGAGAGGGAAGGGAAAGAGTTATGTGATGATTATTTTTATTTGGGAGTTTTAAGATAAGAGGAGGAGGGTTTATAAAACTTCCAAAACTCTCCTAATCTTATGTTTTTAAATTTTTTTCAATTTAGGAGGTTTTGTATTTATCCTCTTCCCTTCCTTTTCATCCCTTACCCTTCAAACTCTTTCTTTTCCTATTCAACTCTTTGAATATTCTTCGTCATAGATCATATGATGTGTGCATCCACTCTAAATTAACTAACTTTCACTATTATTGCTTATGGAAAACAAGTTGTTGCAAATAACTACTACTCCTCTTGTTGATTAGCTATTTGAGCCTTAGTTTGAAGTTGATTTTAGTTCTTGCAAATTTTTGCAATATGACCAAGCCAATTGCATTTGTGCAGTGTTTATTAGGTCTCTTTAAGCATTTGAAGTGAGGATGATTCCTCTTTTTATAGTGTTGATAAGGAGGATCATTTGCCTTCTCATCTTCTCCTTTAGTGCCTTTGTTAGAACACTCTTTTTGCTCGAAGTTGTCCCTTGAACCTTCTTTTTCTTTTCTTTATACCCATAATTGAGTTTCAATTTGGCCTATAACATACCTTCAATCACGCCTCTCTCATAAATCTTTTTGTTTTTGAGCTTGCAAAGCATACAACAATTATTCGAGGGTGATAATTGACAAATCTTTAGAATTTTTCTTTGACTTTCGCATTTTCTTCATTCCTCTGTTGGGTAGAATTATGCCTTTGACTTTTGCTATTTTTTAGTAACAAACCAATCTCATAGATCAATTCTTACTCAAAAACTAGTAGTGTTTTGCCTAGATTATATATTGTATTTTCAATTTTCAAAGTACATGTTGGAGTGTTTAGTGAACTCTCAGTCTTATCAAGTACCTCAAGAACAAATAAAGCTTTGATTACTAGTTGTTGAAACTAAAAAAAATTTAAAAGGCTACAAAAAATAAAAGTTGAAATTCACATTTTCATTTGTATTAATAACTTTTAAATAAAAAAAATTATAATTAACAATTGATTCTAATTTGTCCATTAATTTGAAAATAAATTACAAATAAAATTATCCATAAATTGGTAATAGTCCATTAAGCACTAATAATAAATATTTATTTAGATTCTTTACAATTTTATTCATTAAATAATCCTTTATTATTAGAGCCTATTAAAGGAGAAATAAAAAAAAAAAGAGATTACTATGCATGTGAGCAATAGAGTGAAATGAAAGGCAGATAGCATGGAAGAGAAAAAGTGAGGGTGACTTTCAGTTTGAGAAGAAAGGAGATTGATGTGAGGAGAAAGTGTGGGAAGGGAGATAGACAAGAATACTCAGCACAGGAGTGAAAATGGGAGGAAGATAGCTCCTTGAAGATAATTTTTTGTCATATTTTTAATGAAAACAATACAGAGAAATAATCTTTAAATGTATGTACCAGATGACATAAATTTGTTTTCCTTGCCTTTTTGAATTATTTTAAAAAATGGTTAGTATTAATAACAGCAGAGTAAAAGAATGCTATCTAAGATAAATTTCTTCTTGCTCCTCCCATGTTTTAGGTGCAGGCTGATGTAGGTTACTGAAACGCATAGCTTATAATGCTCATGTGTAATCATCGCAAACAATTCTTCTTGTTTATGAACAGCACAAAGACTATGTTAAAGGTCCATAAAATCATTCTCTCCACAATGATGGATTTCGTTTATTCTTTTCTTTTTCTTTATGTAATCAGCTTTAGAATGTACTCAAATTTTGTAATATTTTTAATAAACATATAATCCATTTATAATGTATAAAATCTTAAGCATAAGTTGTAACATGTAATTATGCCTGTTATATAGCCTTACTTTTGCCATTTGGTACCGTACCGTATTCAAATTAAATTAATATTAAAGTTACAAAATGATAAAATTAACTCAGAGAGGAATATGATTAAGTATGTTTATATATATGGAAAATGCATAGCATTGCGTTGTAATCCTTATCCTGCACACTAGAAGCTGCCAGACCAGCTTCCTCTAGCTTTCATGCAAAGACAATTTACATATCAATGTGAATGTAGGTGAAGATGCATTTTATATGAGTATTATTTATCTCTTTATGATACGTTACTTATCTTGTTTGATGCTCCCATTTTTATTATTAAAATTTTTAGTAAAAACAATTATTCTTTATGTAATGATTTTTTTCTAAATCCTTTCAACAAAATCTTAAAACAGTAGATGTTAAACACATCTTTCTTTCACTCGTGTCTTCCTATTTTTCGTTTTAGTCTCTCCCTATTTCTACGTTTAATTAAGGTGTGGACTAATCAAAGTCAACGAGCCAAAGCACATATATGAATGTGAATTGCTTTCAGCCCACACAATAATTTCCTCCGAAGGCTCATCGTCCACACTACGAAGGTGTGAAACGAGGTTTACGGATATGTAGCATCTCCAAACACAATCTCACAAATAAATCTTGCGATGCAATCATGCACTGCTGCTATAATTAATATTACGCAGCACACACGCAAACACAAGCTTGCAGTTTGTAAGAATCGTTCATTCAAGTTCAACAAATGGAGGAGTACGTGCCAGAAACTAAAGCTTCTTCTTCCTCTTCTTCACATTGTTCAACTTCAACCGCACGATCTTGGACCTAACAATATCATGTGTTCTTGAGTTTCAGGGGCATTTAATAGTTATTGATTTTGTTAACCACAATACTACATGTTGAATTTAAACATTTAAAAATAATAAATTTTTATTAAAAAAGGAAATATTCACGATATTGAAAATATATTTTGATGATAGATGTTGATAGTGTATTAAATATTTTATGATATTTTCTTAATTCTGATTTCTCATTCAATTTTTAGTCTTCTTGATATTTTTGAATTTGTTGAAACCCTTATTTACATGATTTTAAATGTTAAGGGAAGAACTCACAGTTGAACCTTATTGTTGGAAACTACAAAATTAACTTGAGATTCTTAACAACAACAGTAAGCTAGGTTTCTTAAGAAAATACCGATTTATCACAAAACTTAATAATTTTAATTAGATATATAGCTTATACGGCTCACAGGTAATATTCATTGAAAACAATTCTTCTTGGACTTGGTAGGTATTTTTTAAAAATTATTGCAAGTTTAGGTGAATGACACATGGTCCTGGCATTAGAATGGCAAAGCTTTCCTCATTTCTTGACTTTAACTCATAAAAAAACTAGGGTTGGAACTGTTTCGTGTTTCCTGTTAGTAAGTGATCCTGAGCCAACTGAATCATATGTCATTACATAGTCGAATGTTGTTTGGGTAGCCACTTTGATAAATGCTTAAAAAAAACGGAATTTACTTTCTATGCAGCTAGGTTGTCCTTACCTTTATATTCTCTTTCTAAACAACACTGAATCATGTGGTGAAACAATAACTTCACCATTTCAATTCAGATAGCACTCCTTACAAAAGAATTTTATCATAAATAATTACAGTGATCTAATTTCATTGATGAGTCTCTACACTCTAATCCATAGTTAAAGAAATGATAAGTAACTTACTTCATAGGTCAGGTCTTACACCAAGATCTGAAGGTGAATTGTTCAGAAAAAAACTACATATTTCCATTGAAGGCTTCTTTTAGAGAAATAAGTTAATACAGTGACATGTTAAGAGAATATTGTAGAATAAGGAAGAGAAATTTTAGTGGAGTCTGATATCATTAAAAATGCAAGTGGTGGCTATATATAAATCCTTACATAAATAGAATGCAAAAAAATAGGTCCCTAACATCTACCTACTACTGATAAAATAAGACTAAATCAAAAAATAAATTAGAATCCCAATAAATCAAGGATTTATTCGACTAACAGAAACAAGAATATTGACTAAGTCTGAACAGATTATGTAAGAATTAATATACAAACTTTAAATCTCAGACAAAAAAAAAATGGCAATTATTTAAGGACAACCTAAAAAATAACATTATGTGAAAAATTTTACAAACACATAAATTTTTTCTAAACATCCCATGATATGTTTAATTCATATAGAAGAATGCAAAAATCTGACTGCACCCTGCTACAATATTTGTGCGTTGCTATATATAATTTGCAGAGATAGACTTACATTATTTTTCAAGCATTGATGCTTCCGTTCATACGCACGGGTTTGCTTTAGCGGATTTCGATTAGAAAATTTTGTTCAGCCATGCCAGAAAAAATGTGCCCTTCAACAGAGGACACGGGTTTGAAGAAAGTCAAATACAAGCATAAAATGTTTAAGATTGGTGCAGTTTAAAATAAAGAACTTTAAGTCAATATAAAACCTTGGCTTCCCTCTTCTTTCACAAAACCAAGATACTTTACTTCAATCAAATCTAACATAAATTTTAATCTGTCCAATTTGAGAACATGTCCCTCATTATGTTAGTCAGTCTCAATTTGTAGTTGCATATTAGAAATGTGACGAGGTGCGAGGATTTGGGAGGATCCAGTTTAGCATTGACACTTATGGTTTATATCCCTCTTTTTCTTTGGTGTTCTAAATGATGAATAGTAGATACTTAAGCCATGTGACTTGTGATAAACTATGTTCTACAAGATTGATTGTTTTCCTTCTCTCTTTAGACATAATTGTATGGTGAGAAGCTTTTAATGACATGGTTTGGAAGTTAATGTTAGTTCTTTCATTCTCTCTAAAGCTTCCTATTACGACTTACAGAGTTCACTCACGTTAAAGTTCTCACACATATCAATAACAAACATTAAGAGGACGATCCATAACCTTGGTGTTCTCTTTGTAATCTTGATCTCTTTTATTTTCTCCAACTCTTCCTTCCTTTAACTAGCGTACTCTTTTCTGATTAGCGTGAGTTCTTTCAGTGTGTGTCTCCGTAATGCTTATTTTCTAGTGACCGCTCTTTTTATATATATATATGAAGAGAGAAGAGACGGTTTCCTTTTATTAAGAGCCTATCTCAGGAGAAATAAAGAAAAAGACAATGGATTATTGATCATGTGAGCAAGAGAGAGAGAGATGAAAGGCAGATACCATGGAAGAGAAAAGTGAGTGTGGCTTTCAGTTTGAGAAGAAAGGAGATTGATGTGAGGAGAAAGTGTGGGAATAGAGACAGACAAGAATTCAGCAAGGAGTGAAAATGGGAGGAAGATAGCTCCTTAAAGATATTTTGTCATATAAGTTTGTTTTCCTTGCCTTCTTGAATGATTTTAAAAAATGGTTAGTAGGAACAACAGTGGAGTCTACGGTAGTAGAATTGATGTGCACATGTGATGTTTAAAATTCAGATTGCTTATTTTTGTCTGTACGTAGAATGCTATCTAAGATTAACTTCTTGCTCACTCTCCCATATTTTAGGGAACTGAAACGCATGGCTTATAAGACTAGTGAGAAATATACATGTCAAATAGATAATTAAGTTTTTTTTTTTTAAATATACTATTAAATTATTTAAATAAATATATTTTTTTAAAAGTTATAAGACTTATATTTAAATAAATTATTAAAAAAATAATTTAATATTTTAAATATATATAATAAAGTTATATATTTTTATTTATCATTTTCAAATCATATAAATATAATTAAAACAGTATAATGTAAACTAGTGTTACACATATAAAATACTCAAGTAAATAAGACTCTCTCTCTTAAAGAATATATATATATTAAAGATCTTTTTAACTCTAATAAAAAATAAAGTTTTTAATTTAAAATTTTATTATTTTAAAATTTAATTAATTTAATATATTATTATATTATAATTTTTATATAAAATTATTTAATATATTATTATAAATTTTAAATAAATAAGTTTAATAATTTTTTTCTTAAACTCAAATTGACTTATTTAATTAATTAGACTTTTTAAAAAATTTAAATTAAATATGTTAATTAAATAAACTAATTTAAACTAGA